CGAACTACTCAAAATTTCCGCTACCGGTTCTCCAGAACTGATCAGAATCTTTTGAAACCCACCTCTGCTACAGTGCCCTAAACATTGCATCATTTATGTCTATAAATCCATCTTAAATATACTTCTGTATGATTTTAGTAGAAACCAAGCCTTCTTTCTTAACGATTCTCCTGTAACAGTGTTGAATTGGGTGGCTATAGAAATTGAATATATAAATAAAATAAATAACCTGGTTGTTTGTTTTCCTTGAAGCTCTAGAAAAGAAGCACATCCATGCGTTTAAACTAAATTATGGTTCCTGACAAGCTTGTGGATAGATTCTTCTTTTAAACCCAGCAGAAAACATATTTTTTCAAGCTACCAAAATGCATTTAATATATGCTATCAAGCCATAAAGACACATCGCTTATTAGATTAGGATTCATAATGCAAACACCTTTCAGCAGAACTCGAAGGTCAAGGAATTATTCAGCTATCAAAATATAGAATATACAATTACTAAGATGGCATGATCTAACATTTTGCTGATTTAGAATTTATTACAATTCAGTTCAATGCTCCATGGGGAATTTAATCTTCATTTACCATGCAGGGTTTACACAGAATTCAGGTTTTCCATATTGATCTTACTGCATGGGTTTAATATTTAATACTACTAGTAACTAAAAACTGTGTTCTTGAACACAATCTCTTCCATCTGCAGATGATTGTCATGGTACTGACTGTATATACAGTCAATACTGATTGAATAACATTGGATAAAAATTGCATTATACTCAACATAAATAGTTTAAGTGATAAAGTGTAAGCTTTCCCTTGAATTTGATAAAAAACTAAGCATATTCTGGAAGCAAAATCTTCAAGTTGTCTTGAGCAACTTCCTAAATTTCATCATTCAGAAGAAAACTAAAATGAGGCACAGATCTTTAAACTTACTTGATTTTTTTCATTTTATTGTCAGACTGTTCTTATTCAGTATAACTGTTCTGTAGATTTGTTAAGAGAGGAATGCCTTGGAAGCATATAACAGAAAAGTTGTGACAAGAAAAGGGCTTCTGTAGTGTATAAATTCCTGATGGCGAACCTATGGCACGGGTGCCACAGGTGGCACGCGGAGCCATATCTGTGGGCACATGAGCGTTGCTCTAGCTCAGCTCCAGCATGCGTGCGTGTGCCAGCCAGCTGGTTTTTGGGCCTTCTGGGTCCACCGAAAGTCAGGAAATGGACTGTTTCCGGCCTCCAGAGGGGTGGGGAAGGCCATTTTCGCCCTCCCCACGCTCCAAGAAAGCCTCTGAAGCCTGGGGAGGCCCACTGGTAACCTTTTTGCTGTCGTGTGCCAAAAGTGGGGGGAGTGCAGAGGGGGGTGTCACACATGCATGTGCGGGGGGGGCACAGGGAGGAATTGAATTATGGGTGTGGGCACATGTGTGTGTGACCCCCCCACATTCCCTCTGCTTTTTGCACGTGACGGCAAAAAGGTTAGCCATCACTGGTATAAGTAGTTCTTGGATAGTGTGTAGTGTATGGTGTTGCCTAGTGTAATAGATCAGAAATATTGAGTAGTGGAAAACTATTTCTTCAAATAGGAGGAATGTATTTAAGGCATAGCTATGTGGCTGCAGTGTCTCCAAAAGTAAAACCACATTCCACTGCTCAAATAATAAAGATTGAGGGGATATTAATCAAGATGAAAAGGAACCTGATTGTAGCCATTAGAATTTTTTTTACATATTGGGGTGCTGCTCTTTTAACAGTTGCTATACAATTAGTAAATGAACCCTCTGACACATTTGCACATGAAGGGCACAGTTTCTTGTCTGAAGAAAGTTAGCGTCAGCAGTAAGATGCTTTTTCAGAAATTGGAACTTTTACTTTTAATGTATTAGCCCAGGGTCCCCACTAGTGGGCCGTAAAATGTTTGCCACCAGGCTACAGAAGTGTCAGCAAGAGTGTGTGCACATACCCACTTGGACAGGGATTATGCCAATTTCTTTTTATATTCTTGAGATATTTCTTACATTTTAATACCCCAAAAGTCTACACATATATAATTGGATATAGAATTTAAAAATACTGGTTATAGATTTAGTCTCAATATATAATTAACCTTAGCCCAAATTCCTGATACAAAGTTTTGTTGTTTCAGTTGGTGAGCCAATAACTTTCTAGCTTTCTCTCCCAATTGCCAGTAATTCTGACTGATACATTTCAAACATTCAGCTTGTTCTGAGTAATTCTGATTTCCCGAATAAAGTTTTTGTTGCTAAAAATATAGGTAGTCCTCGACTTGCATCCTTCTGGCAAGCCAAGTCAATGGAGAAGCCAGAAGCCAGATTCATTTAACAACCATGTTACTAACTTCACTTCACTTAACGACTCTGGCAAGAAATATCATAAAATGGGACAAAACTCACTTAATAAATGTGTCACTTAGCAACATAAATTTGGGGTTCAATCATGGTCATAAATCGAGGACTACCTGTTCAATAAATCTGTGAGGTTTCTAAATTTAGTTCATATTATGGTGCTGTTCATTCTTTGCTGTTTGTATTCTGTCACCTTTCTATTCTTGTCAGTTTCCTTGGCTCGTTTGTTTCACCAGTAATTCTGATCATACAATATTTCCTTTCCTCCCAATGTGGATTTACCTTAAATATACTTTTAGCATGATTAGTGAACTATGTAAACATGCTATTCTGCCACAGCCTTATTGAGAGATCATATTTCCTCTGAAGGTAATAGTAAATAATCTATTATATCCTATGTCATTACATCATCCAATCTTTCTTACTCAATTGTTCATATCCTGACATGAGAAAGGATTGATTGAAAAGAATATTTTTGAATATTCATAGCTCTGAAAGGCTACATAAATGCTTCCTGTGAAGTTTGATCTTCAGGAACCCTTTCATGAACAAAAATTGTCTTTATAGTAGTTATTACATAATGCATATGGATATGCAAACTCTGGTCGACAAGAATTGAAATATACAAGGTTTGGTAATAGATTGTATGTTAGATAAATATTGACTTAGCCCAGCTGAGTTAACATTCTGGCTGGAATAACCCTACAACTTTCTATCATTATAACTTATTCGTTTATTTATCAAATATCTATGACCACCTAACTCGCACACAATGTATCAAACTTAATATAGCTAGTATCCAAACAGAGCAAGATATATATACAGGCATTTCCAGATGCACAGTTAGTTCTACTTATAGTCCCCACAGTACATAAGAATCTATTTGGAAGGTCCCTCAAGATTGGGAATTTGATTCAAAATCCCTACAGCACTAAATATCCTAGCTCTATGATGGCGAACCTATGGCACGCATGCCACAGGTGGCACGCGGAGCCATATTACTGGGCACGCCAATTCATCTCTGGGGAGCATGTGTGCGCCGGCCAGCTGATTTTTGGGCCTTCTGGGCCCACCAGAAGTAGGAAAACAGGCTGTTTCCTGCCTCTGGAGGGCCTGGGGGGGGGGAAGGCCCATTTTTCTTTTTTACCTGTCTCCAGATCCTCTCTATGCATCTGGGAAGGGCAAAAACAGCCTTTCCCACTCCCTTGGAGGCCCTACGGAGGCTGAAAGGGCCCATTTCCCGACTCCCGGTGGGACAGGAAGTGACGTTTTTTCCTGTCCCCAGCCTCTAGAGACTCTTAGAGAGGCTCCTAGAGACTCCTAGAGACTCCTAGAGAGGTTCTGGAGGCTGGGGACAGCAAAAAATGTCACTTCCTGTCCCACCGGGAGTTGGGAAATGGGCCCTTTCAGCCTCCATAGGGCCTCCAAGGGAGTGGGAGAGGCTGTTTTCGCCCTTCCCAGACAAATAGAGAGGATCTGGAACCAGGTAAGAAAGAAAAACAGGCCTACCAGGCCATCCTGTGCCAGGAGCGTGGGGGGGTGAGGGGTGGGGTTGCATGCGCATGCACGTGGGCATGTGCGCGCGCGACCCTCCCCCGCCCCCCCTCTCCTGGTACGCGATGGCAAAAAGGTTAGCCATCACTGTCCTAGCCATTTTTAAAATCTAGTTGAAACATCTCTTCCTCCATTATTAAGAAAGGAACATACTATTTTTAAGCCACATAACACTGCTTTCTCTTTCTTTCTTTCTTTCTTTCTTTCTTTCTTTCTTTCTTTCTTTCTTTCTTTCTTTCTTTCTTCATTTCATTACATTTTTATAAATAATTCAATGAAGTGAACATCCAACATACTTCATTAATATTATTATTATCTCTTTTATTCATTAAACACAAAACTCAGTCAACTGAACATTTAAAAATGTATCACAAATATCATTGACTGGTGCTGATGGTTGATGCGGGTTACTGCCAGCATCCTAGGTATCAACTAAGTATCTTCTTAAAATGTATGATGTTCCGAGTAGCATAGTTTTTTTGCAGTTCCACTAGTGTTATTGCAGGAACCTGCAATTTCTTGATGTATGTTGTAAAATTCTTGGACATGGTACCAAGTGCCCAAATGACAATGGATATCACTTTACATGTTTCATCCATAATTGCATGGTTTTGATGGCCAGGTCGTGATATTTTGTGATTTTTTTCCAGTTCTTTTTTTTTTTCTGACTGGTGTCTCCTGGTACAGCGATATCAATAAATGATGATGATAATCTATTTTCCCCACAATAAGCCCATTGTGAGATAAATTATTCTGAAAGAAAGTGACTGGCCCAAAATCACCCAGCCGGCCAGTGGATTTCTGTAAACAAATTCTTGATGGAAGCAACTCTTTTGTAGAGCCAAGCATATTGAAGTTTGACAATTCATACTAAATATTTCATTTATGTCTTGGATGATTATTTCTGAAATGAAAACCATTGGCTGAAAGCAAACAGGCGACTTTGAAATGAAACTTGGAAGAAAAGTAACACATAGTGGATGGGTGCTAAGCTGATGCACTCTGTGTCTATATTGTGCCAAAAGAGATACTTGCATTGGGCCACAAATATATTGTAATGTTGATATATTCTTTCTTCAGGCATTGCACAGATGTATTGTGTTGTGGGATCTTCGTTGTTGTCATCCTGGGTTACATTGCATTAGGAATTGTGGGTAAGTAATATTCATGGATAAAGTTCATTAGAAAGTAGTTCTTAACATGCTATTTGAATAAATTTTGCTTTTCATTAAGTAGACATGCCAGTTAAAGAAAGCTATTTTCATTTAAAATATTTATTGGAAACAAATTATGGAATGTCTATTTACATTAGTTAACAATGGTAATTACAGAAGAGACATCAAAATGATGGGTATATTGATTTTTTTGAAAAAAAAGTCAAGCTGAAACAATACAGGTAAAATTGCTATGGTTCGATTATGTTGTAGATTACTTTAATTGTATAAAACTGCAATTGTAAAAGGAAAATGTTAGAAATTATTGCACCATTAGGAAAGGGAAATGTGAAAAGGAATATATATATATATATATGTAAAAAAAAAGGTTTATTACACCTCTCAGTGATTTAGTGAATTTGATTTGATTTTGCCCTAGAAAATCACTCTGCTATTATTTGTATTTATGACCAAATTTCAGTCAGGTGGTAGAAATAAGGTCAGAAATAAGAGTTAGCTTAATGATATTAATGAGAATCTGATCAAGTAACACAACAAATTATTTCTTAAAAGGTTTTACAAGTAATCCTCGATTTACAACAACTCATTTAGTGACCATTTGAAATTACAATGGCTCTGAAAAAAGTGACTTTTGACCATTTTTCACTCTTATAACCATTGTAGCATCCCCATGGTCATGTGATCAAAATTCAGATGCTTAGCAGCTGATTCACATTTATGACATTTGCAGTTTCCCAGGGTCATGTGATCACCTTTTGCAACCTTCTGGTAAGCAGTCAATGGGGAAGCCAGATTCACTTGTCACTAATTTAACAACTGCAGTGATTCATTTAACAATTGTGGCAAGAAAGGTAAAATGGAGCAAAATTCACTTAACAAATGTCTCACTTAGCAACAGAAATTTTGGGCTCAATTGTGCTGATAAGTTGAAGACTACCTATATACAAAAATATTGTCTTTCAGCATCTTCATTTGGGATAAATTTACTAGGAATTCATGTCTGTCCAGCATTGGTTTCCCCATAGTAGAAACAATTAATGACATGACATTATCACACATGTTTTTCACATGTGTACAACATGCACATTGTATATACGATATGTATCAATATATGCCAACAATACTAAAGAAGTAAAACATTGACTAGCAGCTATTCCATGTCATTTGGTCTTATTTGAGAGCAAGCAACATGGCCATGGATATTATCTAGTTATTGGGGATGATCCTTTGAAATAAGTTTAATTGGATATAATAGGTCTTTGATCAACATTTCCCCCTGCAAAATGTTGAACTGTTTCTTCAGAAGACATTTTAATGCAAGCTTTGCCTTATTTTATTCATATGAATGTTTTCAGTATTTGAATACATATATAGTAGTTTTAGTAGATAACGAAAGAAAAGCCAGTAGGTAATGAAAAAGAAGTGGTACATTATACAGGTAATACCAATAAGAAAATGGAATATGTATTCCTTATCTGCTAAAATAAATTATATCATAACAGTATTCCCTAGTAACATTGTAGATCCATATTTTTGCAGTATTTATTTATTTATTTATTTTAATTTTATTTATATGCCGTCTTCTCCGGAGACTCAGGGCGGCTTACAATGTGCTAAGCAATAGCCTTCATCCTTTTGTATATTTATACAAAGTCAGCTTATTGCCCCCACAACTGGGTCCTCAATTTACCTACCTTAGAAAGGATGGAAGGCTGAGTCAACCTTGAGCCTGGCGAGATTCGAACCTGCAGTAATTGCAGACAATTATGAAAGTAAAATGGCTGAATATTTAATCCAATTATATTGATGCTGTTTATTGATATCAATACTGCTGTTTGCTCTTCATGCATCTTCCCTAAATAACTTCAGTTTGAATCCCAGAAGCTTCAAACAACCAAAAATAAACCCACAAGTACTTTTAAGAGCAATAAAGAATTGGAATGTCTAGCATGCATGGAAGACAATTTTGGCAATTCTGGGTTAGAGTTGCTTGGATCTATATTACAATTAATTAAACAAAAATATTATTTTGCTTTTTATCAGGTTCGCCTGATATGCCAGTTGCGCCCCTTTCTAGATCGGGACTCCCTACGCACAGTCACTCAGGCACTCGTCACTTCCCGCCTGGACTACTGCAACGCTCTCTACATGGGGCTCCCCCTGGGGTGCACCCGGAGGCTCCAGCTGGTCCAGAATGCGGCCGCGCAGGTGATTATGGGGGCGACGAGGCGCTCCCACGTAACACCTCTCCTGCGCGAGCTGCACTGGCTCCCGGTGGTCTTCCGGGTGCGCTTCAAGGTGTTGGTGACCACCTTTAAAGCGCTCCATGGCTTAGGGCCGGGGTACTTACGAGACCGCCTTCTGCCACCAATAGCCTCCCACCGGCCAGTACGCTCGCACAGAGTGGGCCTCCTCAGGGTGCCGTCCGCCAGACAATGTCGGCTGATGACCCCCAGGGGGAGAGCCTTCTCTGTGGCGGTGCCCACCCTCTGGAACAACCTCCCCCTGGAGATACGTACAATAACAGACCTCCGGATTTTTCGTCGGGCCCTGAAAACCCATTTATTTCAATTAGCGGGGCTGGCTTGAGTTAATTTTAAATTGATTTTAAATTGGGTTATTTTAATTTACGGCCAATAATAATTATTTTAAATTGTTTTTAAATTTTGTATGTATTGTTTTTTATTCTGGCTGTTCACCGCCCTGAGTCCTATTCTGGAGAAGGGCGGTATAGAAATTTAAATAATAAATAAATAAATATTTTAAGGAAAAATTCATGTTCAGCTAATTGTTGTGATGATCAGAATTCAATACTTAATTACGTTATTACATTAAGCAACTATGACCCAATCCCAAAACTTGGCTATCTCTATCTTCTTCTTTTGTGGTTCCTGTCAAATAGTAAAGACATGTTCAGGCTAGGAAATGAATTCACGGGGACATGAGAAATATAGTTGCTTTCTTCGGTTATACTTTCAGTATTCATATGTCCTTTATTATAAAGGGTAGTCCTTTATTTCAAAAATCTATCCCGAAGATTTATTTAATTTAATGATTTAGTTTTAATAAATATAATGATTTAGATTTGTTTAATGATTTAGTTTGTTGGTTCTGCTTTTGAATATTTTTTTTTGTAAAACAAACTTTTTTTTTATCCTTATGAGCCTCTTTTATTTCCCTTTTTCAGATTTGTCCTTTTTTTTTCCCCCAAGGGAATATGGTCACTGCACTTATAATAAGCAAAGTTCATTATTTATAAATCCTGGTGATTGAGATTGTATTATTTCCTTTCATTTGTTGAGCATCCTACTAGAAAAAAAGTCCTACTTACTCTTTTTATACACATGTCTAGTAGTATCTTTTAAAGCCGTATTAGTTTCTCAAATTTCAGGCTATGATGTACAGTAGCTAACAGTTGGAACCAGGCCTCAGTTTTGACAAAGTAGTAAAGATCTCATTAAACTTCAAGTCCTGAAGTACAGTGCTCTATTATTGCTTATAAAAATATTTCACTCACAAGCACAGTAGAAGCTTAGAAAGAAGAAACTTAGATTTCAAAGGCGCTCTAGGTCTCACCACACAGTGGCTTCACATGCCTTGGTGCAGAAAATGTAAACAGTGGGATGATTCAGTTGAAAGCAGCAGCAAATCCTAGCAGAGATTAAACTGCCAATTGTATCTTCCCTGAAGCAAAAGCAATTTTGTTTATAGAGAAGACTTTCATTCTGTTAGAACCATGCCTCACTACTTTTGTATTTCACCGTAGATCACCTCTTTATGAAATAGTTTCTTTAATTTTTTTTTTAAAAAAAACTTTTGTTACGGGCATGCCATTATGAAAAATGAAGTGATCAGAAGATTGGGCAGGGAACGAGAGAAGTAGCAGAAAAACAGTTGGAAGTTTGCAATTGTGCTGTATCCTTAGATGTTTCTACAGCTTTGTACTTTCTGCTACTACAAAAAATCTCTCTTAATCCTCTGGCTGGGATTTCATGGCAGTTTTCTATGAGAGGTTTCTCCAAATAATAGCGTATGGGAAATATGTCGAAAATTGATGGAGATAATGACTGAATGCTTGGCTTGTTTTTCTTTTCTTCACAGCGTGGGTCACTGACAGTTTGGTCAGCTTTGCATCTGTTGAAAAAGTGTATGTGTACATCACATTGTGCTTGCCTTAACTATAAGGACAGAACATCAAATATCAAATGAAATTTCTGAACACCAACAGATGCTGAAAGCAACTCAAAATGAGATCTATTTTTGTATGTTTGCGTATTATCTTTCACACAGAGAGACACCTAGAGATTTTTTTTTTGTCCCTGTGTCTCATTCTGCATCTGGAATGTTTCCCCCTTACAAACTGGTAGCATTCACATCTGTCTCTCTTCCTTAAATTACAATTTCCTTTTCTTGTTTCACATTTGCCCATGTGCCTTATTTTTAACCGAGAGATGAGATCACCTTTGGATAGACTCCAGACACTTGTCCTGTTCAAAATGCATGAGAGTCCATGAAGCTCATATAAAAGGAAAAATAGAATATAATCAGTTCACAATCACAGTTGTGCCTGAGGCTACTCATGATTCAATAGGATCTATATATTTCTGGCTCTTTACAGAAGAACAGGGGGAAAAGATTTTTCTCTTGACCACAATTAGATATGGGTGGATCTGCATTTACATTTGACTAGAACTCAAAAAATTCTCAACCACCTTTGTTGTTGTTGTTGTTCAATCAATAGAAAAATCTACATTTCAGAATCGAATCATCTAAAATTCATGGACCTTTCCAAAATATGAATCTTTATTCTGATAGGAAAAAATACTGGTTGAGAACTTTTAGTTTTGTAATTTTCAGAATTGGTCCTTATTGGGTTTTCACACTTTACACAGACAATTTGATAAAAATAATCTTTTGTTGTTGTTGTTGTTTATGATAATAACTTTCAATGTTTCAGTGCTCTCTTGCTTTTGAATACAGGCATTCCTTGACTTATAATCATTTGCTTTCTGACCAATCAAAGTTACAATCGCACTGAAGAAGTGACTTTCAACTGGTCCTCACACTTCTGACCATCATAACATACCTATGGTCATGTGATTAAAATTTGGCTACTTAGCAACCAGCATATATCCAAATTTATGAATAAATACCCATCGCATGACCATGGGTATGTATTCATGATGGTTTCAGCATCCCAGGGTAATATGATTACCATTTGTGACTTTCCCAACTGGCTTCCAATAAGCAAAGTCAATGAGGGAAGCCGGATTCACTTAATGACTGTGTGATTCATTTACAACTGGGATGATTCGCTTAACAAAAGGTTATAAAAGGTTTTAATTGGAAGCAACTCATTATACAATTGCCTCACTTAGCAACCGAAGTTCTGATCTCAATTGTGTTCATAAGTCCAGGACTACCTGTAACCATGAGTTTCAGAAATACTTATTTCTAGAGTTATTAAAGTACAGTTTATAATATACAGTTCCTACATGGCTATCTAATAAATAATAAGTGCCCAATCAGTTAAATTAAACTTTAAGTAGTCCATGTAATGGGAGCGGTTACAACCCATTTAATCTTTGTACTAATTGCTTGTGGTGTGAATACTTTCCTGTATACCTAATAGAACAGTTTATTGTTGAAATTATTAGGTTTCAAAGCAATAATTTTTATGGAGGAAAACAATAATTGAATGGATGTTGTTTTTCTGTACAAAACTGAGGAAGGAAATATTCTCTTTTATTTAATTGTTGTAGAAGAAGAAAATTATAATACCTGGATTAAGTAGTGTGTTCTTTTCTGCTTGATTTTGCTAAATATATTTCCTGACCTACATTAGTGTTTCACAAATGCCATTTTTCACAGGTGTCAAACTTCATAATATGATATAAAATATGGCAAGCTCTCAGTATCTGCAAGAAAAATAAACACAGCACCACAATATTGTTATGTTCTGCACATAATGAAATGTGTGTTGAAACTAAGATAGAATTAAATCTGTTTTAAAATTCATATTTAAATAAAAGTAAGGAAATAAAACTCTGCCTTAATCCAGCTGTACAAAAGAAGTCTGGGTTATTAGGAGTTATGCATTGTCCCTTCTACCTTTGGCCTGCAAAGATTAAGGCATGGTGTTTTCATGCCTTATGATTCCAATTATTATCCTGACGACCTTGGAGGAGATTTTGATTTTGGCTTGATTTCGTTTCAGTTTTTCTACATTTAACCCCATTAAATGAAGAGGAGTGTGAGACTGCAGCAATTATAGTAGATCAGAGTCAAAGTGATTTGCATAAACTGGGATCTGACAGTGTATTTTAATTGGTTCATACAATTCTGTGTACAGAAGGCAGCTCAGAAGTATGCATGAAGTCAGTTGAGTGTATTTAGCTTGGCTCAATACTACTGTATGGCTTTACGCCAACAAAGCTTTTGTAATGCATCCCTCTCCTCATTTTAATAACTGTCATTTTCTAAGTGCATTACCTCATTTTCTGGCTGTCAGCCAGATACATTGTGATATAAAAGGGGGGAACAGGAGAGAGATGTTTTGCTTTGTATCTATCCCCTCCATATTTTTTCATTAAAAAAGGCGACTGTTTAAGAAGCAATCAATATTCTAAGTATCCATTGGGAGAGGTTAAAACAGTTCATGACAGGAATTGCATTTTAATGAGTAGCAAAGTTTAATTCCAACTGAAATGACTTGATGCTTTCTTGCTTTCCTTCTTCATTTAACAGCCTGGGTACATGGTGACCCAAGAAAAGTAGCCTATCCAACTGATAGCTATGGGCAGTTCTGTGGTCAAAAAGATACACCGAATGAGTAAGTACCGAATTCTTTTGCATCTGTATCCTTGTCACATGCACCAGAACTATTATCTCATTTCCTATTTTTTGCAGATGTCTTACTGAAAGTGTGCAGGTGGCTTCTGCTTTCATTTACTGGGTTTTTAAAATTGGGATTCCAATTAAGATTTCTTTTTTTAAAAAAACCCTCAGACTTCAAAGCAAGTCACTGCTCAGCCCAGACACTGTCTGTCACTTAGATATGTAACTGTTACATCATGAATCCAAGTGACTGTAAACCTAAGATGCATTGGGTCTGATTAGCCAACATAAATTGAATGCTTAAATAAGATGTCAAGTGAGAAATTGTTATGTCATTCTGAGAGAAAAGTAATTTCTAAGCACAGCTGACTGCTTCCTATTTCTGTAAGTTTGTCATGTTTTATTCAGTCAGTATCATATGCCAGAAGCTGAAACTGGCAAGAATGCTCTCTTGCTTGCTTAAATTGATACATATGGCAAACATTTAAGTTGTCAGGGGCTGCAACTCTGCTTTCCAACCTTTCCAAAGGCTTAACGGAGGCCATGATTATGTCACTAGACAGGATAGGATTAAAGATGTCTAGTCCATTTTTTCTGGGATTTGGTATGGAAATGGGAACTAGAGACCTGTAGAAAGCAAATTATATCCATCCCAACCATAAAATTACCCCCAAAATAATGTCATATATGTTGAAATGATGCAGTGGTGGATTTCAAATTTTTTTACTACCGGTTCTGTGGGTGTGGCTTGGTGGGCGTGGCATGGCTTGGTGGGCGTGGCAGGGGAAAGATACTGTAAAATCTCCATTCTCCCCCCACTCCAAGGGAAGTAAAATCTCCATTCCTTCCCCAATCCAGGGAGGGAATGGAGATTTTCCCCATTCCCTTTTGCATTTTGAATGCAAAATCCCCATTTCCTCCTGATCAGCTGGGACTCGGGAGGCAAAGAATAGATGGGGGTGGGGCCAGTCAGAATTTTTACTACCGGTTCTCTGATCTACTCAAAATTTCAGCTCCCGGTTCTCCAGAACTGGTCAGAACCTGCTGAAACCCATCTCTGAAATGATGTAATAAGCAGACCATGAAGGAATTTTTGAAGAGCCAAACAGGAGCAGTTGATACAGTACATCAGAGTTCTTGAAAATCCTGGATTAATATAATGTGTGAAAAAAGATATTGTATGTTTATTTATTTGTATTTTATTGTTTTTACAATTAACTTAAGATGGCAAGATATCTTCAGCACACCTTCCTCTCCTATTTTCTCCACAACAACCCTGTGAGGTGGGTTAGACTGAGAAAGGGTGACTGGCCCAAAGTCACCCAAATGGCTTTCATGGCTAAGGCAAGATTTGTTTCTCTTTGCCTCAGGAGATTCGGTTATTCAAGAATACACTTGTTTCTTTGTATTTATAGAGGCTATAAACAAGTGGCATTTTAATATAATTTTCCTTAAAGTATAATAAGTCTGTAGCATGATACATCAACCTTCCGGAACTTGGCAGTCTCCATATATATTAGTATATGTGAAAATTGTACTATAAATCCTTTGGACCCATGTTCAGCACTCATCAAGCCTTATCTGCATATTTCATTCTTTTTTGAATTACAACTTTAGAATTCATTATGTATGAAGATATTGGTAAGCTAGTTGGGAGGCAAAAATAAAAATTTTATGTAAAAAAGCTTTTATGAAATTTGACCGGTTGCTGATATGGATTAAAGATTTATGGTTTATAAAACCCAGAAGCTGCCTCTAATTCATATCTTGAGAGTAGTTAAATTTGAAGAGACATGCTAATCTTTATACTACTGCTATTTGAAGTGCTTTGGCATAGAGCAATAAAATGTAAATAATAGTTGCAATGGTTCAACAAATTCTATACCAGATAAATATTTTAGAATATTTGATGTTTTGAAACCAATTTCAACGTTCGTAGTTCTTCAGGAAGGGATGATATTGAACTAAAATAACAGAATTAATTCCATCTTAGGTTAAGTACATTGTGAGGGAATTTAGTTACGTCAATTCATCTCCTTGTTAATCTCCATATAAACCAATATTCCCTTTGCATTTAGAAGACAATAGTGTGATAGCCTGAAAAAGAAGCCACAGCTTTACTCTTCTATAGTGCTTTCTCTGTATTATCAGCAAATAGAAAACACTTCAGTTCCAATTAGATTGCCACTCAGCTGTATGAATTTCATTGCAGCCTGTATTTGGAATCTATCAATGTGAACTTCAATTTTAAAGAGTCCTAGTTGTATACTCACTGTGTATATCAAGAGGTGATAGCCGGAACACTTTAAAGAACTCTTTAGTTCTTCTAAGCAGACAATTCTCCTATTAGAAAGCATAATGATGCAGTGTGGCCATATAGATGAATATGGGTATGATTTTTTTCCCTTAACTTTTTCAAAGGGGGTTGGAAAATTCCCTTTTCAATGCATCAAACCATGCTAAAGAGACAGCCAAAGACTGCTCCTCCACAGCTTTAAAAAAGAGGCAAAGCAGGCTTAGTATCTCTTATTTTTCCCTTATTTTATTTGCTGGATTCAAATCCCATCTTTTTCTGTAAGGGTTTAAATGGCTTACATTGGGATCTTCTTTATGGATCTCTGTAACAGCAAACCTGTAAATTAAATAAGTAAAATAAATAAGAAGAGGGTATCAACCTATTTTCTAAAGCATTAGAAGGCAGAACAAGAAGTAATGGATGGAAATTAATCAAAGAGAGAACCAACCTAGAACTAAGGAGAAATGTCTTGACAATTGGAACAATTAATCAGCAGAACAATTTGCCTCCAGAAGTTGAGGGTTCTCCAGTACTGGAGGTTTTTAAGAAGAGATTGGACAACCATTTGTCTGAAATGGTACAGGGTTTCTTGCTTGAGCTGGGGGTGGGTTGAATTACAAGACCTCTAAGGTCCCTTCCAACTCCATTATTCTATTATTCTGACAGAAAATTTGCTGGCCTAGTTATCAAGTGGATATCTACAACTGAAGTTGCACTTAAACTTGGATGTCCCTGCTCCTAGTTTTAATCTGCCATTTTAACCATTTTTGTACTATGGAATATTAGTTCTAAATGTTTTCAGATCATTGATAGAAGCTTGATGAAACACACAGTATTCTTTATTATTTAATTTGTTGATATTTTATATCCACTCTTTCTGAAATTCAGGGTTCTTCTAATGGGAATTTATCTTAAAAAATAAATGGGTTAACTTTTTTGCCCTCTGCTTAAGCCAAATGTATGTTTTATATCTATATAATTCATTGTAGTCTTTCGTTATAAGAATGATCTATATTTATGAAAAGGTATTCTTGGGATTTTATACGGTCTATAGATTTCTACATACAAACAAATTCTTCATTGATTTTTAGTGCCACCTTGTGATTACTATAAAAAATACCAGTTTCATGATACCATGTAGTGTGTGTTTAAACTTAGTAACTGTACAAGATAAATTTACTGCACAGTGGAAAATTGGATATGTGATAAAACATTAATGTGAAAAGTATGATTAAATTAGCATGAATTGCTGCTATCTATCCTATTGCACAGGGAAAGAACAATTTTCTCAAAATTAATCTTCATGTGTGCTATAATAGGAATCCCTACAGGCAGTGATTTGGAGTGAATTTTTAATATGTGTATAATATATTTATGCATTTTGTTAATTATTAATTATTGCTATACGTATACATGGAGTGAAACTAATCATTTTATCTATCTTGTAGGAACAAAACAATTTTATTTTATTTTAACATTCTGAAATGTGCCAGTCCTATAGTGCTAATAAACCTACAGTGCCCTACAACACAGGTATGTAATACATAGTCAAAAATACACAGATTAATCTTGATACAACTGTTTTGAAAATAAAAAGTGTTATGAATTGGATATACGTATAGTAAATGCTAATGTTAGATGTAAATTCTGTATTCTCAGAAGAGATATACAGATAAGATGAAAAGGAATCTGTCTGTTTAGAATATCACTTAAGAAAGAAAAACATACATTGAGCGCAGGACTGAGTAGTTGTGATTTTAACAGGCAGAAGTTAGAATGGGTTACTCTAGAAACAATGTTTTGGTAATGATCATTTACGTTACTTCTTCATATTATCACCATATTTACTGTTCACTCATGTTTTCTGGATATAGATTTAAGGGGATATAGCAGTGATAGTAAAAACAACCTTGCACAATCTTGCATATTGCATATTGGAAACTAACTACATATATTGGAAACTCACTGGATCAGCAACTCTTGGGGAAGATGATATAGTAAATAATCCCTTCTGTTTTTCCTCAAATATATCCTATGAGAAGAGATTCTGGCAATAACTTAGCTCTAGAATTTTATGTAGGTAATCAGAAATTTTTTTCTAAGATGAGAAATTACAAAATTTTGATTTGTGCACAATTCTATTTGAGGAAGAAGAGAACTCGTTGTATTTGTACTACATTGGAAGAATCCTTATGTATGTAATAAATAATCCATTCAGGATAATCCTCTGATTCTATCATTTTAAATAAATATTTTACCAAGAAAGAAATAATTAATTATTTTTCAAAATTAAGGGCAAAAGTTGTTAAGTATCTGAATGTTATCTGAATACTTTTGTTGATTGGGGTCACATCACCAACATTTTGTGGCTCATTTCCCCATTTCAGAAGTAAGATTTCCTGGAGATTTTTGTTATACCTCCAGTAGAATTACATTACAATAACAAAAATGATAAAATACTACTTCAATAATGACATGTTCTCTGTGACAATATAATAAATAACGGCAGAAAAAAAATATATCCTTTGCCTGCCAAAAGGTTATGTATGCCTGATTCACAGATTCACTTTGATTAATTGCTGCACAAGATACAAATTTGTCTTCTTTTGTCATTTAAAAGTTAATTTTTAAAATTATTTATGAGATATTTAGAACAAGAAGGAATACTAGGAGAAATTCTATAGACATTGAAAGAAGAATATTTTTGTTTCTTCTCATTTCCCTTGTTAGACATTACAAAATAGAGAAGAAAAAAAAGAAATTGTTATATGTGTATACTGTATATATGCTTTGCTAAGCAAACAATCTGTTAAAAAAAGATGCACTTTTAGAGATGATAGATTTTTGTATAGGTCTTTTGGTAATATAACAGTCTCATCCTCCACTGCTACTTCAATCAGGTTTTCGGTTTTGTCTTAAAAGCTTTGTGTTTCAAAGTGCCCAGACAGATTTGCAACCTACATAGAAATGCAATCTTCCTATAGAAGTTATTGGGAGTACTACAAACAATTTTGCAAGCCTGGATTTACTAAGCCACGCAAGGTGAGTTTATCAGTCTAGAATAAAAACATCAATGGTAAATTTATATCTGTATGACTTTCTCCATGATGACTTACAGCAAAGCTATTGCTATAAAGTTTCTAGTGCAAGGAAGTCAGCCTCCAAAATTAAAATTAGATGAATGTCTCTTCAAAGAGGCCAAAGTACACCACCAAATGCAATCATCTAAATACTTAAAAAGTAATTTATTCTATTTATATTTATTGAATATATATCCTGTATAACCTCTAGTAGCTCAAGGTACCTTATGTGGGCCACTTACAAAGGCAACCCTGTGAGGTACGATGGACTGACGGATAGTGATAGTCAACACAACGCATAGTTGAGAATAGTTTTGAACATTGATCTCCTCCATTAACGACTCTAAAACACCAGCTGCCTCTGAAAACATAGTAATTTTAATTTTAAAACAATGTAATTTAATGTAATTTTAAAACAAGTACTACATTTCCGACTTCCGGCGGCGACGTCAGCGGGTTTGGAGCTAGAGAACTGGGCTCCGTTCTTGAAACTCCAAGATTCCCACCTAGGAAGCCATTTTAGGCGCTATTGATCTTGGAGAGATCAATAGAAAAAGGAGGAAATTCCAAGGACCTCGGGGGGGGGGAAGGCAACCAACCCGAAGGTTCAGGAGAAACCTCCTAATTCCAGACGGGAAAAAAACAGCCTTTATGGCTGGCCCGAAGCGCTGAAACCGCACAGGAGGAAGAGAAGATCAAACTGAGATATCGCAACTGTATCCAGTTTAAATTGAAAGTGGATTGAAATAATAAGAGGAGTAATCGAAGCACAGCGATAAACGAAGCAGAGAGTGGAGAGCAGCGAATTTGAGTCCCTAGAAGACGGCGGAATAGCGGCCAGAGAGAGCAGTGACAAAAAACAACAAGGGCAGAAGAAAATTTGACAGGCGGTGACTGCGCAAAAAAGAGAGACTGCTTTGAAACGAGAGGTTTCAAAGGGATTTACATGGTGGCGATTGACCAGACTCCAGATTTGGATTCAACAGAGAAGAAGGGGTTTTTTTTCGGACTTGATCAGAGAGACATAGCAAACTAGACAGAAGTATCCAGAGACTATTTAAATAGGAAGACAGCAAAACGGTGAGAGTGAGAGTGAGAGTGAAAGTGTCGGAGGCCATTGAAGCCGGGAGAGCGAGTGAGAGCAGCGCAACAGACTGGCAAGTGGAAAGTAACTGAGAAGTTAATACAAAAACTAATTAACTGATAACGACAAACGGGCTATTTTAAAGTGCTGAATTTTAGACAGTTGAACTTTTGGCTATTGGATACTTCCGGAGAGAGAGATATCAAAGACTATAATATATAACAACTTGGACACAAGAACTCCATAAGTAAGAGTGAAAGAGAATTATATATTAAGTGCAAAATAATCCTATATATATATAGGATTTCATCCCACCATGGCCATTTTAACATCTTTCAACATAGGAAAAAACCCTGATTGCAAAAATATCGCACATTTATACCTATGAATCAAAAGAAATAAATATTTGACCTCTACAGGGAGGAGTCACAAAATATGGGTGTGTCTGGCTGAAGAGGCCTAAAAAGGCCGAAATAGTGCTATCCCAGTCTCCCATAAGTCACAGAAGAAACAACATAAAATGTCTGACAAGGTCTGAAAGTGATGAATAGAGATTTCATCCCACCATGGCCATTTTAACATCTTTCAACATAGGAAAAACCCTGATTGCAAAAATATCGCACATTTATACCTATGAATCAAAAGAAATATATATATATATATATATATATATATATATATATATATATATATATATATATATATATATATATATATATATATATATATATATATATATATATATATATATAATATATATATATACACACACCTGATTAACCCTTGCAAAACAGTATATTCATTTATTAATGCTTGTTGATTGTGAAACATTTGATTAATTGATTTCTAATCTACTATATGGATAATTAAGAGCTAATTAGAAACAAATAGTTTAAGTGGATATCAATTTAAATAATATTTAATCTCTTATATATTTATCTTAGTTAGATTGTACTTGAAAGCTTTGATTTGATAGACTGATTATTATACCGATTACACTACTATATTGACATTAATTGATATTACTGATTATTATATTGTATTAACTATATTACGATTTAATGAAGTGCTAGAACTCTAAGTTTTTCCCTCACCTCCTTCACCCTATTTTTCCTCTCCCTTACCTGAATACATATTTATATATTTAATTAATTATTTATTACTAGGGTGTTAAGGATATTTATAGAAGTAATTTATAATCCAATAAGATTAACCTTTATTTTGAAGATCTACACCATATAGACCATAGACTCTAGACAGTACTACTGATAAAATACTATCACAAATAACGATATTGAAATACAATAAGAGTAGTCTAGTGCATGAAATTTTGGAAGAACCTACGGACAATAAATTATAAATTAACAATGTCGGTACCATATAAGGAGAATCTGTACAAAATGTTCTACAGATGGCACCTCCCACCGGCCAGACTGGCAAGAATGTTTCCCAACACCTCTCCAACATGCTGGAAATGTAAACTTTATAAAGGAACCTACTATCACATATGGTGGACCTGCCCAAAAACAAAACAATACTGGCAAATGATCAGAACACAAGTAGAAGAAATCACACAACGAAGATTAGAAATGAGGCCAGAAACCTTTCTATTAGGTATAATAAATGGACAATATGAAAAGGAAATAAAATACTTAATCATTCATCTAACAACAGCAGCACGAATAATTTTTGCACAAAATTGGAAGAGTAGTGACACACCAACAGAAGATAGAGTAATTAGTAAAATTATGGAATGTGCAGAAATGGACAGACTCACAAAGGAACTACAAGATAAAGAAGAACACGACTACTATCTAGTATGGGAAAAGCGGTACACTTGGTTAGAAAATAGAAAAAGGAAAAAAGAATAGGGAGCAACTGGAGTTACACAAACAGTAACATAAATCACTAACACAAGTTAACAGTGAATCATACAGATAGATAGATGAGTAAGACCAAACAAAGAAGAGTCAAAACACAAATAAGAACATGTATTACAGTTGTGATAGCTTTGACAACATGTATACTCGAACTCTTTGTTTACATGTTTTGTATGTTTTGTTGTTACTCGTTTTGTCTTAATTTAACTCGTTTTGTTTTAATTTAAACAAATTTAAAAAATTTTTTAAAAAAAGTCCTACATTTCCATTTCACTGAACAATGCACCACAGTGTAATTATTATTATTTATTTATTATTTAAATTTCTACACCGCCCTGAGTCCTATTCTGGAGAAGGGCGGTATAGAAATTTAAAAACAGCCAGAATAAAAAACAATACATACAAAATTTAAAAACAATTTAAAATAATTAAATATTATTGGCTGTAAATTAAAATAACCCAATTTAAAATCAATTTAAAATTAACTCAAGCCAGCCCCGCTAGTTGAAATAAATGGGTTTTCAGGGCCCGACGAAAAATCCGGAGGTCTGTTATTGTACGTATCTCCGGGGGGAGGTTGTTCCAGAGGGTGGGCGCCGCCACAGAGAAGGCTCTCCCCCTGGGGGTCGTCAGCCGACATTGTCTGGCGGACGGCACCCTGAGGAGGCCCACTCTGTGCGAGCGTACTGGCCGGTGGGAGGCTATTGGTGGCAGAAGGCGGTCTCGTAAGTACCCCGGCCCTAAGCCATGGAGCGCTTTAAAGGTGGTCACCAACACCTTGAAGCGCACCCGGAAGACCACCGGGAGCCAGTGCAGCTCGCGCAGGAGAGGTGTTACGTGGGAGCGCCTCGTCGCCCCCATAATCCCCTGCGCGACCGCGTTCTGGACCAGCTGGAGCCTCCGGGTGCACCCCAGGGGGAGCCCCATGTAGAGAGCGTTGCAGTAGTCCAGGCGGGAAGTGACGAGTGCCTGAGTGACTGTGCGTAGGGAGTCCCGATCTAGAAAGGGGCGCAACTGGCGTATCAGGCGGACCTGATAAAAAGCTCCCCTGGCCACGGCCGTCAAATGATCTTCTAACGACAGCCGTGCATCCAGGAGGACGCCCAAGTTACGAGCCCTCTCCGTGGGGGCGAGTGATTCGCCCCCAATAGCCAGCGATGGCGTCAGCTGGCTATATCGGGACGCCGGAAGCCACAGCCACTCGGTCTTGGAGGGGTTGAGTCGGAGCCTGTTTCTCCCCATCCAGGCCCGCACGGCCTCCAGGCACTGGGACATCACTTCAAGGGCATCGTTGAGGTGGCCTGGGGTGGAGATGTACAGCTGGGTGTCATCAGCGTACTGATGGAACTCCACCCCGAAGCCACGGATGATCTCACCCAGCATCTTTACATAAATGTTGAACAGAAGGGGCGAGAGGACCAACCCTTGTGGCACCCCACAAGCAGGGTGCCTCGGGGTCGACCGCTGCCCCCCTGTCAACACAGATTGCGACCGGTCAGAGAGGTAGGAAGAGAACCACCGCAGAACGGTGCCCCCCACCCCCAACCCCGCCAACCGGTGCAACATGATACCATGGTCGATGGTATCAAAAGCCGCTGAGAGGTCTAACAGGACCAGGATAGAGGAGCAACCCCTATCCCGAGCCCTCCAGAGATCATCCACCAACGCGACCAATGCCATTTCCGTGCTGTGCCCAGGCCGGAAGCCGGACTGGAGCGGGTCTAGATAGACAGCTTCATCCAGGTACCGGGGAAGCTGTTGCGCCACCACACTCTCAACAACCTTCGCAACAAAGTGAAGGTTGGAGACTGGACGATAGTTAGCCAAAACAGCCGGATCCAGAGAAGGCTTCTTGAGGAGGGGCCTCACAACCGCTTCTTTCAAAGCAGCCGGCAGGACCCCCTCACTCAAAGAAGCGTTAACAATCTTCTGGAGCCAGCCTCGTGTCACCTCCCGGGAAGCCAGTACCAACCAGGAGGGGCACGGGTCCAATAAACATGTGGTTGCGTTCAGCCGTCCCAGGACCCTGTCCATGTCCTCGGGAGCCACAGGATCGAACTCCCCCCAGATAACACTCTCAAGACCTGTCTCAGTCATCCCGTCCGGACATACCCAGTCAGAGGCCAGCCCTTCCCGAATCTGAGCTATTTTGTCATACAGATACTGCACAAAGTCCTCAGCTCGGCCCTGCAAGGGGTCATCCCGCACTTCCAGATGGAGGAGGGAGCGGGTCACCCTAAACAGGGCGGCCGGGCGATTATCTGATGACGCGATAAGAGCGGCAAAATAGCTGGATTTCGCCGCTTTTATTGCCACTAGGTAGGTCTTAATATGAGACCTCACCAGTGTTCGGTCGGATTCGGAGTGGCTGGTCCTCCAACTACTCTCCAGGCGTCTTTTCCGGCGCTTCATCTCCCTAAGCTCCTCGGAGAACCAAGGAGCTAGGTGAGTTCGGTGCCGGGTCAGAGGCCGCAAAGGCACGACACGGTCCAAGGCCCCGGCAGCCGCACTATCCCAGGCGGCCACCAGGTCTTCAGCCGAGTCATGAGCCAGAGTCTCAGGAAATGGCCCAAGCTCCATCTGGAACCTATCAGGGTCAATCAGGCGCCTGGGGCGGAACCACCTGGTCGGTTCCGCCTCCCTGCGGCGGGGTGCAGCGGTTAGAAAGTCCAGTCGAAGAAGCGAGTGGTCAGACCATGACAAAGGTTCGATGGCTATATCCCCTATATCAAGGCCACTCAACCACTGACCAGAGACAAAAACTAAGTCCAGAGTGTGTCCCCCTGTGTGAGTGGGGTCATGAATTAACTGAGTAAGGTCCATGGCCGTCATGGAAGCCATGAACTCTCGAGCCACCTCAGATGTTTCACCGATAGATGGCAGGTTGAAATCCCCCATAATAACAAGTCTGGGGGTGTCCACCGCCACCTCGGCTATAACGTTAAGCAGCTCGGGCAGGGCCGTTGCCACGTGGCAGGGAGCCAGGTATGTGACCAACAAGCCCATCTGTACTCCACGACCCCACTTTACAAAGAGGGACTCACATCCGGCTATCTGTGGAACAGTGGTCTCCCTTGGATCCAGACCTTCCTTTATAATAACCGCCACCCCCCCGCCCCTGCCCTGAGCCCTTGGCTGATGAAATGCACGGAAGCCTGGTGGGCATATATCCACGAGGGGAACTCCCCCCTCCTGGCCCAACCAGGTCTCCGTAATGCCCGCCAGGTCCACCTCCCCCTCCTGAATAAGATCGTGAATGAGGGGGGCTTTATTAACAACGGACCTGGCGTTGCATAACATCAGCCGAAGGCTCTGGCCCTGAGAATCTGGACAGCCTGGGGAACGAGAAAAGCATTGGGGACCGGAGTGCGCAATCGCTCTAAAATAGCGAGTGCGCATTCCCCGAACATGATGTGGTCCCCAGCTACCGCCATATCTGCCCCTCCCACTCACTATGCTGATGGAACAGCCCTCTTCAAATCGAACTCCAACCCCCTCCCCGACCTCCGGTTCTACGTCCCTAATGTCGTAGCCCTTCGCTAAGGCTGGTCTTGAACCCGGTGGATTTCCCCCAGAACCCACCCTAATCCCCCCCGAACCCCTTAAAATGTTTGTTAAAAACCTACTAAAAAACCCACTTAAAAAACCCCTCAAACTCTTTTTTGCTGCATGCCATCTCCAACGCCCGTCATCAAGATAGGCCCTCAATAACGAAGAGGGCCAAACCTGCGAGAGGGGGGAATCTCGCAGGGCACGAAGGTCATTCACCGAGTACATCTGGACATCAGGGGGAGGTGATAATCCATGGCCAGTAGCCAGGGGACAATTTGATGTTATCACAGTCAAGAGTAAATGTCAGGCTTCAATAGAATTCCAATGGGACACATAGGACCTCATTGCCCTCTCACGGCAATGGCAGGAGTAAGAATGCTGTTTCGGACCGGTGAAGGGTGACCCAGCCCCCCTCTCACGGCGGCTGGTCAACTACGATCGTCCAGAGAACCGGAGGTGAGACAGCAGCTGTAGACCCACTCCACCAAGACTTGAATCCCCAGATGTAAACCTCCATTCAATGGAGGGAAAGAATGGGATCAGGTCAGTCCACATAGTCCAGGGCAGGCTCAACGGTGGAGATTGTAGCCATCAAAAAAAACTATAGGGAGGTCAAGATGACACCTAGTCCAGGAGATGATGATGGGGGGGAAAGAGGAGAGCCAAGGCAAACAAACGCCAGAGGGGGGAAAAACCCTCAGTCATGGTCCAGCTCTCCCCCATCCCTCCAGATCTTCCTTATAATCATGCTGCTCATCTCGCCCAGCCTTCATAGATCAACATGAAGGCCTCTGGGACGACCAAGGGCCAAACAGTGCCCCACAATCACCCAGGAGATCTAATGCCACGAGTAAGCAGCTGCCACCATCTCCAAACTCCCACAGACCAAACTGTGGCGGCCCCTTCCTTGAGCCGGCGGCCGCCATTTCCACGCCGCCAGCATCGCTGCCGCCGCTGTTGCCAGCCTCCCCGTCCTCACCTCGCCCCCCTCACCGCCCTAGCACATGTCCAGAGGGCGGATTGGGCTGGCGAGGATCCCGACAAGGATGCCGCACCGCCGCCATCGCCGCGGCGCTGACGCTGTCTTCCTGGCTCTGCCGCCTTTGCCATGGGAGGTCTGCCGCCGCCCCCTTCTCCTTCGGGCCGCTCTTGCCGTCCTGTAGTCTCCACAAGCCGCGAGCCTCCGCGAGCCTCCAGGACGTTCTAAGAAGCCGGAGACCCCTCAGCAGAGAGCCCCGACACTCCTCCAGCTGGGCCAGGGCTGCAGCGATAGAAATTCAGCCCTTCAAGGCCCCCCTGAAGCCATAATCACCCCCCCGAAATACCGGAGTCACAGGGAAGTCGCCATCTTGCGCATGCGCAGAAGTCTTGTGCAATAGAATAGTTAAATTTCTATATGTGGGAAGCACAGCTACACGCTCAGCATTCACCTCTGCCGAGTGGTGGTGCAATTGGTGTCCGCCGAGGCCCCGTTTGGTCTTAAAATGGGAACTACAAAAGCATGGGAAGTTGGGATTTCCCGTCCTGTTTTGGGTGCCTATACTATTGGCATCCCCATCTCTACTACTGGAGTCCGAAAGTCCAGGGGGACCAGGACTGAATACTATAGTCATGTTAGCAACCAGCAGCAAGCCCTCTACAAGGTGGTTGGCCTTGCAGGGGGGGGTGGCTTGAATCTTAGCTCCAGTACTTAGACTCACAGACACTGTTCGTACCTTCTCCAGCGGTCACCATGTGGAGGCGCCCAAGCCGTGCAACTGTGTCCCAGTTAAGAGAGTCATAGTCTCACTTAAGAGAGCCATAGAGCCATCACTGATCCAGAACATTTTAGCAGAGGTAAGGAAAGAGTGAGAAGGGCAAACTTAAAGGAGGTCCCGAATTGCGTGACCCTGGTCCATACGTAAATCTCCTTTTCTTCTCTGTCCCATAAGGTCAGTCTGTACATCTGTTTGCTGTTGCAGTACACATCTGCACTACTTACTTCTTTAGTGGGAGAAATGGGTTCCTTTGTCTCTCATTTTTTTAAAACCAAGGTAGTTGAATTTCAAAGTGCATCATCAGCTAAGGAAAAAAGAAAGCATCTAGTATCTTAGGTTTATCAGAATTTCGCAGAAATGAATTTTGGCCTACGTCTGGAGCTTTGTAATACAGACATTCTTGCAGAGAATCCAATCATCTGGTAGGAGTAAGGAATTAAGTAATTGCTAAAGAAAACAGATTCAGCCACATTGTAGAATTCCAGGACAAAATGTGGGCAATGAATGGCTATATTTGATATTCATTAAATAATTCGTAGCATAACACAGGGGTGGAGGAAAGCAGAAGGGTGCTTGTGACCATGTGATCAAGGTCCTGTTCATTGGTACATCTTATAGCAGAGGTCTTCAAACTTGGCAGCTTTAAGATTTGTGGACTTCAACTCCCAGAATTCTCCAGCTGGGAGTTGAAGTCCACAAGTCTTAAAGCTGCCAAGTTTGGGGACTCCTGTCTTATAGTATAGTGCGAGTACACTATAGTGCAAGTACAAAAATAGGATGCTTTGATCATGTAGTCTCAACTGCTATCTTGGCTTTTTGAATCCTCATCTGACAATTCAGTTTAGGAAGTACTTTATTTCAGTGATAGGATAAAGCAAAAGATATAAGACATTGGAATTAACAAATTGATTTGCCGCCAGGTCACTGGTTTGAAGCAACTTTAGTTTTTCAAAAATTAAATTCTTCTCCAATTATCTCATATTGAAAAGCTTTTACAAAGCCTGGATTTCAGTCCTAAATTCATTATGCTTATTCTATTAAAAAGCAATTTAATTCTGAAATTAGGTCAAAGCTACTTGCTCAAATATTTTCTCTTCAAAGTCATGACAGGAATCCTCCTGGCTTCTTTTTACCATTAATAGGAAACCAGTAAGACCTGAACTTCATAGTTCTCACTGAAATTCTAACCAATAATGTGTAATAACTTTTTGATTCTTGGCATTAAAAAACGGATAACATTTTTCTGCATTTCTTCTTATGCTTTTATTTTGACTTTCAGTCTGTAACTCAAGTTATGCGTGATGAAGATTGTCCTTCTATGATTATTCCAAGCCGGCCTTGTAAGTATCTGTGTATTTATGTTGTGTTAACATTGGCAGGGCCAAATACTAAAATCTTATTTTCTTTTGAGATTTGAGATATTCTGAACTAAAGTTCAAGGACATAGTATAAGGGATAAATTAGAAAAATACTAGATTTACACCTTAGGTAAAGCATAATTTGTTATAATCATGATTTGTTAGTATGTGTTATCTAGCTATTAGCTGGAAATTATGGTTCACACATGATTCATACATTGGATCCCAATAAACCAAGTATGACTTGAATGAAGAGAACGTAACTAAATTCAAGTGATATGTATATTTGTAGCACTTTAAAATACTCCCCAGTACAGTTAATCCGCAGAATTTGAAATCCTAGTGTTTCCCATTTTAAATCTTTCTTTCCTCCAGCTACAATATAATAAGACCACTTACGTACCCCAAATATCAGCTAATTGTATCCTTGAATAAGGTAGAACCACGTAATACTGTGTACAGTCTTCATTTCCATATTATTTTTCTCATATCTTGCTTTATCTTAGCATACAGTATACTGCAAATACATACATACATATTCTGCTAGTCTCTTTTGGGTTATAAAATAATGCTAAATCCATTTACTTCTTTCTGAACTGTTTCTCTCCCCTTTTCTTTTCACTCTAGTTTGATCAGCATCCTTTTCCTTTTTGCAATGCTTCCTTTTGGATTCACAAGACATTTTACAGCAATGTGGATTGTTAATTTTCTTTTAATGTGTTATATAAAATTAGTGTTCATATACCATGGTTTGCAGTGGTGGGATTCAAGTAATTTAACAACTGGTTCTCTGCCCTAATGATTTCTTCCAACAACCACTTTGCCAAACTGCTCAGAAAGTTAACAACTGGTTCTCCTGAAGTGGTGCGAAGTGGCTTAACCCCACCACTGATGATTTGTATCTTGATGTGCAAACCGAGCCAGCAAGCCCTATTTTTTAAAAAAAAAAACATGCTGAAGAATACGTAGATATGTGAATCCAGTATCTATTCATGCTGTGGCTTGTCTATCAGTTACAAAGAAGCCCAAAACTACAATAATTGCTGTGATGGAAAAATGTAGTAATGTTTTGTCACAATTTTCAAATTCATTAATAGTTATAAAAAGGTAGATATTTACCAGAATAACCTAAAATGTAGTATATTTCAATTTGTATGAAGTAGAAGCAAATATCGCAGGAAAGTAGTAATGCAAAATGGATGCAACTATGATCTCCCCACTTTCCCACACCAACAGTAAGAGAAATAATGTAGATTTGTAAATGACTTTCTATAATTGTCTGTGTAAAATTTTACAGTTTTGCTAATAATTTTAGCAGCAAGGAAGTAAAGAAGTAGTAGCAATCCATTCCAATTAACAAATGGAATATTGCTAGAAATAGGGAATTGTTTAAAATGATTGGGGCTTTTCTTTACGGTCATACTTATGGGATTCCTGAAAATGATCATTGATTGATAAGGGTGATGGGTGATTTTTTTCAATGATTGAAAAAGCATATCACAATTCTAAAATAGTTAGGAAACATGTTTAATTTTGACACTAGAAAGAAAAGAAATTACAGAAAGGACATCGGTATGCTTAGGAGGGTGCTTATTTTTCTAGCCCATTCTATTTGTATTTCCTGGTAAAATATATGAGGAAATCCCCTTGTGGGGCAAACCCCCTTGGGATTAGCGTTAAGTGTCCATGAATTTGAAGAACAAAATTGACATTGCTAAAGGATTTATAATGCCTCAGTATTCATCCTATTTACATTTCTTGGTAAAAGGCATAGGAAAATCCCATTGGGGCTAGGGTAACGTCTCCATGAATTTAGAGAGCAAAATGGACACCGTTAACAGATTTGTAGCTCATCGGTATGCTTAGGAGGGAGCAGGTGTTTTGAGTCCACCTTATCTACATTTCAAATAAAATACATGGAAAATTTCATTAGTATATTTAATGAAACAGATATTGTTTATGAGTTACACACTATACTGTATAACACATACCGCTTTAAACAAACAGAATTTCTGCTAATTAATATATCTAGTCATATTAAATCTAATATGATGAAATTTAGTGCAATTTGATCTGTATTGTTTCATCTCAGTATCAAATATGAATCATAATAAAAAGACACATGACACTACAGATAGCTTTTTGTTTCCACAGTCCTTAAGAGGTGCTTTCCTGATTTCTCTACTAAAAATGGAATTCTGACTGTGGCCAACCAAACTACTTTCAGAGATGGAAGAGGAAAAACACGGAATGTAACAGATCTCAGGGAAGCAGCAAAGTATGGATAGAGTGTGTTTTTGTGTTTACCTATGCAACTTTGCTTGACCAGTTGTCATATAAATACACTGCCATGGATTTTTTTTTACAGTAGTAATCTCACAGACAAACCTCTATGTAGTAGAGAAATTTCATGATTTTGATTTCATTTGTTCCATGAGCAACTTTATATGCAAATTATTTTTTTATCCATGTCTGTAAGCTGAATTGTGGCAACTGGACTTCTTTTTTTTTTTTGGTCTGAAACATTTACTCCAGTGATGGGTTTCTACCGGTTCACTCCAGTTTGGGCGAACCGGTAGTGACGGCGGCAGGAGGCACTGCCCACCCGGCCACACATCACCATGGACGCTCTATGCATGCACAGAAAGTTCTGCGCATGCGCAGAAGCGCCATGCGCAAGCAAAGCAAGCACGCATGCGCATTCCCGGTTCCAAAGTGGGAGCGAAGGTAAGAGGAACCCACTACTGATTCACTCCTTATCCAAGTATCTTGGACTGATTCAGTCAAATAATAACATTATAGCTTGTCATTAGGATTTTTGTTTTATTTTTACCCTTTCTTTCTATTCAAACAGGATATTAAAGGCTGCTTAATAAAAGCAATACTTCATTCATTTGACCAAGCAGTTTTCTCTGCAGCAAAAGGAGGATGCGCTAATGATGGGGAAAACAGAAGAAGTTCCATTTTCCCCATCATGAGCATCATTGTAGCAGAGGTTGAAGAGAAAAAGTGATTGGGCCAAAGACTCCCATTACTACAGTATTTATGGCTAAGACTGCTCTTGAACCTGCATTTCTTTGGTCCTTGTTGACATCTTAGTCACTATAAGGACTCTCAAGCACAAGAAAGACAACCTTAAAAATAAACTCCAAAGCTTTCCATCTTGCACAACCTTCAGAATGGTTAATTCAAAAAAGCATAATCCATAGTTGACTTTCAGATGACGCAGCCATCTATAGTTAACCACTACTAAAATCCTACAGATGCTTCCCTAGAATGGTGCTTATACTATAACTAGTAATAGAAATGTTGTTTAGATATCCTACAGTCTTATTGTTTAGATATCCTATGATGTTATTTTAATTTTAATTTTTTGGAAATGTTAATAGTTTAATAGCGTAAACTATATGTACTGTAATATACTGTATAAAAGTATGTCCATTGAATATGTATAGAATTAGAACCTACATTCTTGCCTTTTCCATAAGATTTATATTTTCTTGTAGCTTATTATTGCTTTGAGCACAAATCTCAGTGTAATATAGGTTTATTACTAGGGATGACCCTAGTAATATTCCATTTTGCCAATTAACCAAACACTATGGACAGAGTTGTGACTTAATTTGTGACTTGATGTACATATTACTTACAGTAAGCTCTTAGGTTGGTTGATTTACATAAGAGGGACCTAGTCTAAAACTTGTTTTACTTTTCCTTTTTAAAGTGGCATCAATAATGTTCTTGATGCAAGATCAGTTGGGATGAAGATTTTTGAAGACTACGCGAGCTCTTGGTACTGGATTTTAATGTAAGTTCTTATTCATCAAAAGTCATGCCTTCAGCATATAAACAGTCATGGTGCGTGCAAAGTGGGAATATAACTTCTCTTCTTAGCCCTTATTCATTCTTTTGTGCTTTCTTTATTCGGTTCTTTTATATGAATTCATTTTTTCTATATTTCTAGTTGCTATTTGCTTTAGGTCTCAATGAAATTAGGGACACTGTATGAGACTGCTTTCTCAATTTTTAACTGTTGTATATTTTGTTTTTGTTTTACTTCCAGAGGGCTGTTTATTGCGATGGTAGTCAGCTTGCTCTTTCTTGTGCTCCTGAGATTCATAGCAGGAGTTCTCTTCTGGATTTTCATCTTTGGTGTAATTGGGATTATAGGATATGGTAAGTGCCAAATATTACATACAGCCATCTAGCACTTTATTACTAATACTGAGATAAGCAGAACTGATTATCAGTTAATTCTATACTATCTCACACTTTCCCCATTAAATGACTTAGTGTTGGGCCATTCTATTTGTCCTCTAGATCGGGGGTGTCAAACCCGATCGCATTGCAGGCCATATTGTGATGTACCAGGATTGTTTTTGTCCATTGCGGAGCCGGGGTGGCCATGGCCTGCATGGGCCTTATCCAGCCCGCATGCTGTGTGTTTGACACCCCTGCTCTATAGACTCTTTTCCTATTACAAACTAGCTAATTGAATGTTAAATAGCCATGGTATAAACAGCAAACCCCACTCCCTTCTAGCACTGATGATGTTACCTAGTTAAGTAATGAAACATCTGTAAGAAAACAATCAAGCTCAGAGAGCACCAAGGATTCCACACAATATGTTCTTCCTTCAGCAGTACAATACCTAGTATTAATACTTTACTACTACGTAGGCCAAGGAAAAACATCCTAGTCTTCTACCCACTATGCAGATGTTTACTTGTTATGTATGTGTGTTTTAGTATATCTAGAGTATAATATCACAATCTGGTTTTTGTTTAAATTTAAATTAAACAAAATTGTTTAAATTTATGATTTCTCCTTGTTCTGCCCTACTAAATACCGAAATATAACATGATAGATTTATAGAGCTCTTAGTTTACAAGAATTTGAGGTGCCTTACAATCATCCTCATCAAAACTATCCAACCTCAACTAAACAACTAGGTAGGACGTAAGGTTGGTTTATGTGACAAGCTTTTTCAAAAATGTATGTATGCCTTTCTATAGATAGAGAAACTAGTTACCTGGCTCATCACCTGTGACAATTTAATAACCTATTTCACTGCATACTGAGAAAGTGAATTTTTCTGCAGTTTCCTGATTCAGAAACACCTGTACAGTTATCAAACATGACCCACATATCATATGAATGCTCTGTTTTGACAGCTATCAGTGTAGAATATTCAATATTCTTCATGTTTGATGTTGCTCCCTGATAGAACTTGAGATTTTTTTCCCCACCTGAAACATGAGAGAAAATACTGGGTGGTGCTCCACCTTCTCAAAAAGTTATTGGCAAGTTTCTTTTGGAATTTCAATTATTTGTGAAAAGACTGATGATTGTTTGGAAGTCAGGAAGCTATTTTCTTCAAATAAGAGTACCTCTAGACATTGTAAGGTTTGTTTTGCTTTCTTTTTAGTATTTACTGGCTAGATTTATAAAATAACTCATAGAGCAGCTAATCTCCGTTTGCCATACAAAATGAAATATAATAAAATTTTAAAATAATGCAATAATTCATTTGAAATTCAGCAGAGCAGAAATATGCAAATGTTTGCCAACATGGCAGGTGTGATATAAAGTTAAAAAATTAAATGGAGCATTGAGAACAGGAACCAAACCCAAATCACGGGAACTGAAACTAATGCATTCAAAATTTCTCTAAGAGCAAAAGAATTCTAGTCTTTCACTAGTAAAAATAGAGATCCCGGGGTTTTTTTTAGTCCAACAAGAACATACCAAATCAAGGGTTACTTCTGTAAAAATCTCTATTTTTCTCTCTTTTGCCATTCATAAATTTCTGATTGATAAGCATATAAAAAGTGACTTTTGATCATGCATACGTATCAGAAGAAGGCTTCTACTGAGTGTTAGGTCCCAAGTCAAGCATGTAGTTTGCAGCTCTTATATTTGATCTGGCATCTTTCTGCCAGAAAGTTCTCTTTGGTTTGAAACAAACCATAGTATAGATTATCGAAAGGATGTAAATTGTTTTATGATTCTATTTTTTCTTTTTCAAAAGGTATCTGGCATTGCTACTGGGAATATCATCGCCTTCATGGAATACCTGGTTCTGATCTTACCATCTATGATATTGGATTCCAGACAGATTTCAGGGTCTATCTGCAACTGAGGCAAACATGGTTAGCATTTAGTAAGTGAATTTTTGAGAAACCTGTATTTTGAGACACCTGCTTAATATTATCCTGACTAAACAACTTCTTTGATGATTGATTGACACCATACTCAATATACTCCATGGTAAGCTATGATATGTTTAAAACATGGGTTGACAAATAAGCTGGAGTTAGATGAGTTTATCCAGCACATTGAAAGAAAAAAAATCAAGGGTACAATATGCGAGCTTGCTCTCTGAAAACCAGATTTCCTAAATGTCTTGTTTGTCTAAACAAGACATTTCTAAATGTCTTTATTTCACTGCAGTTATATACCACTACAATTTGAATTGATTCTCAGAGGCTTACATGATATAAAGAAATTTATCCATAGTACAAATTGATAATTAAAATGCCACAGAATCACACCTCCATCTCAGCTCCAATATTAGTAAGAAATAACAAAGATAAAAGATGGACCAGAAGGCTTTCTGGATAAACTCTGGCTTCAGGATTTTCTTGAATGTTATCGTATCAGATAAGAATATTAGTCTTATCTCCAGTAGGAATTTGTTCTAGAGAACCAACACAACACTTGAAAAGCAGTGACTTCCATCCTTAGCTTCTTTTATTCTGCAAAGTTGAGAACTAGGAGTATGTTAATCCTAAATGCCCTAATATTTGGGGTGCTTTTGTTTGGACCAAGTCATCTTGCAATGTCTCAGGTGCCGAGGTAGAAAGATCTTTACAGGTCAAAATTACTTTAAATTACATCTAGAAGTCAATTGGAAGCTAATTCGTAACTCACAGCATAGCTGTAATGTGTCCCCAATTCTGGACTAATAGTTACTTCTGATTTGTCTTTAAAGGTACTTCCATGCAGAGTGCATTGTAGCTATCTAACTGGGTTAGTCAGGGCAAGAGTTAATTGTTCCCAGGTTCTCTGACACCAGATAATACTGCAACTGGTGAATCAGTTATTGCAACTGGGCTATAACTTCTCTAGCTACAATTTTACTTGCTGTTTTAGCAGGAGCTGTGAGTTCAGAAGGGCTTTCTAGTGATAATCTTGCTCCTTTGTGAGCAGTGTTTGCTCATCAAGAGATAACATTGAGATCAACAGATGACTTTTTGAACAAACATGACTTCTGCTTTCTTGAATTCAGCTTTAACCCATTCTGACCTCTCCAGATCCTGGAAACCTCCAAACACTTAGAGATTGTCAAATTCCTGGCCTGCGGGCCAGATGCATCATGTGTTGGCCATGCCCACGCCCAGTTTAGTGAAGGTGGAAAAAGTCCCAATACATCATGTGACGCCACCGTGATGACATGAGTTTTACACCCCTGACTTGGAGCATTAATGTCATCTCTGTCACAGGGCAAGAGAGTGTTATAAAGTCTGTTATTATCAGCATGCTAATAATATTGCACCCCAAAATGTCAGGTGATCACACATAACAGCTTCAGCTAGAGTATGTCCATGACTAAGAGACTAAGACCAAGAGCCGAGGTGGCACAGTGGTTAGAGTGCAGTACTGCAGGCTACTTCAGCTGACTGCTAGCTGCAGTTCGGCAGTTCAAATCTTACAGGCTCAAGGTTGACTCAGCCTTCCTTCCTTACCCATCCTTCCAAGGTGGGTAAAATGAGAACCCAGGTTGTTGGGGCAATATGCTGACTCTGTAAACCACTTAGAAAGGGCTGTAAAAGCACTATGAAGCGGTATATGTCTAAGTGCTATTGCTATTTCCAGATGCTGTGACATCTGGAAATTATGGAATGTGTGGTCTGGCGTATCTATATGGCTCCAAATTGTAGTCATTTGCTCTGGAATATGCTTTCAGGCTATGCAAGATGCAGCCAAGCTGTTGACTTTATTTGTTCTTAAAGTGAATGAATGAATTAGAGAATGCATGATGAAACATAGCTCATGCTTTGTTGCACCTGTGCAGGTAGGAAACATGGGAATAGGCTGGGAAGATCCTAGGATAAGTAGGGTAAGTTGCACTGAAACACAGTACAAAATATTGTATTTTACTGTCCCATATAGATAAATAAGTTTCTTAAAAATACATTACATGTTCATTTAGCCTACAGGCAAAATCAAATTGTAAAGTCTCCCTGGTTTTTTCCCTGCTCTGGAGACAATAGTATTGTATTCTAAAACGTCTGGTGGATCAAGACTTAAAATGAATAGAATTTAGAAATAATCCTCATTATGTTCAATAAAACTCAATGTGAGTTTTCATGCCTGAGATAAAGTGGATTGTTCCTTTGTTGTTTTTACCCTGTTGCTTTCTGAAAAAGAAAAAGAAAAGACATAAGATTTCAGTGTTATTTCTCATTTGCAGAATTTCTGAATCTTGTCAAAACATATTGGAATTCTATATGGCTAACTTCAAGTAAATATCAGTACATAAAGTACAGAAGTAAATATCAGTACATAAAAAATAACTGAAATTCAGGCTGCTGTTAGTCATTAAAAAGTTAGTATCCAAGAATAATAATGGTAAGCACTGAGATACAATAAATAAGAGAACAAAATCAGTCACATATAAGCATTAATTATATCCAACATCTTCAGATATGAATGAAAATAGCAAAAGGGAGTCAGTGAGTAGGACTGTCTAATTGCAAACAGATATTTCTTTACGCTAATCATGTTGAATTTGAATTATATTTAAAGCTCTGCATTGCATTGAAATTGCTTTGCTTTTAAATGAATGGTTTTCTTCATCAACTTTGTTGTACAATATGCCATAATATTCATTGAGGAGACGCCTTACATATGCAAAATGAAACACATAAGTACAATTGTGATGAGAGAGTACAATCTTGATGACATTCTTGCACAGAGGCTAGATCTAAGTACGTTAAGAATTAATTCTGCTGGAATCCTGAATAAGATGCGGTCGTGAAAGGGCCTACCCTTCTAACTGGTAATGTGTTGTTGTGAGATTAAGTCAGCCTTATTTTTTGACAAACTCATTTCTTGTTATTTTCAGTGATACTACTTTGTATAGTGGAAGTTGTCATTATACTGATGTTAATATTTCTGAGAAATCGAATTCGGATTGCAATTGCCCTTTTGAAAGAAGGTAGCCGGTGAGTATTATTAGCATCCTCATTTTTGCAGTATTCTGAACACAGCCTTCCCCATCCATTAGTGCAGAGACTGTGACCTAATATAGATTTTTAGGGTTTGCTAGAAATTCAGGGCAATATACCACTTGATTTTTAAAAAAGGAGAAAAAAGAAGCATGTTAAAATGAGAATTGTGCGCAATTTCACTTTTGAGCCTTACTTGGCAAGCAAGAAACTGATTTTACTGCAATCCCTTGCAAATGTCTTCCTTTCTCCAAGCCTCAGATGATTAAACAGCTTCAACTGTGAGGCAAGAACATTTTTTCCCCCTGCAGCCTAAAACAATTTTAAGCATCCAATTTTTGTAGATTACAATGTGAGCTAAATATATAACGGAATGCTCTATTCCTTACCCTGTTTACTACCTAATTTTAGAGTTAGAGAATGGCTTACCGAGGTTGGTGGCAATTTTTTTTCTATCTGCCCAGCTGACAGCTGGTTTTTCTCATTCAGGCTGGTAAAATCAAATTCAGATCCACTGAGAGCTGTTTTCTGCTTTCACACCCTCCTATGGTGCTTTCCTTCTGCTTCTCAGCACACTTGTCTGAATCATGCCCTATTCTCCATATGACTCTCCTAAAGTAGCAATAAATTTTCAGCAATTATCACTGGTCCGTCCATTTTCAGTTAAACAGAAAGCCTTCTAAATATTAAGTTTTGAATTGCCCAGTGCTTTCTTTAGCCATTTTAGTTGCCAGCCTCAATGGCTATTCTACTTCCCTTCATTTTTTCTTCTTAGAATGCTCTCTGATAATTTTGTGAGATTCCATTTCCAAAGTCAGACCATCTAGAAGCCCTTTCCCTTTCTCTCCTATGAGAAACGTTTCTATGAGAACTAAACCAGCTCTACTCTTTCCATCAACAAAACTGACACAAACTACCACAGAACAACTGTTTGAGTGCCTGCATAAAGATATGATTGTATGCAGAGTTGGCAAAAAGCCATGATAACTGGAAGCCTGCCAGGAAGATATCAGGTTGTTTGCTCTAGTCAGATTGTACAGTGAAGGAAGGAGACCAGACATTCTCTTTCAAAAGAGGTTATCTTAATGGTGAAGAGAAGTATTCTGCAAGAATGCCAAGTCTTGATTAATTAATATGACTCTGCTACCTCAAAAACTGTGAATTACGTTATCCACTTTATATAATATTTCTATTTTTTTATTTAAAACGTACATTTGGCATCTCTATGGAAGAATCGGTCAACATAATTTGTTTGTTTATTTTGTCTGAAATGATACCGAAAATAAATATAAGGCCAAGAGTATTCTCTCGGTTTTTTTCCCTCTATAAAGAGCAGCCTTGTCTCTGTCCTTGTATAAACTGAATTTCAGACTGTTATCCCTCACCAAGCCAATAATCAGGATTGCTGTTTTGGGGGAAGTTGAAAGTAAATATATATAATGGGGTATCAACTTTGTAGTCTTGTCATCAAACTCAACTATTTTTCTGGGCTCATCTGCAAGTATCATAGCAAATTAAATAATACAATTAAAAGAATATGTGCAGAAATTTTCATAAACGTCTAGTGAAAAAAATATTATTTCATTATAGCGTTGGCTATATTCCATGAAAGGTCACTGAAGATCACAGAAATACTGTCCAATGTTTCTGCATTGGAAACTGCATAAATATGATGCATTTTGATGCATTAATCAAAAGAAATGTTGCACTCCATTGTGAACACAGTAGACTGCAACCCTTAATCAAGGTCTTGAAAAATATGTGGTTAATGACTGAAAGCTTAAATTAAACCTTGATTTAAGAGTAATCCTTGATCAAGAGTAATTTTTTTCAAATTTAGTGTAATCATCTCTTCAGTGAAATGGCAGTTTATATTAGCAATAAATCAGTTATGATCTATTCATAGAATTTAACAAGCAGTTTATTATTGTAAACAATTTATGATTTCAATAAGGCCTATCTATTATTAAATTCTGAAATGCACTGATTTGTAGTAATTATTTCTTGAATAGCATAAGCGTACACTGTTCTTCAGTGATTGAAAAAAAACCCATTCAAGGTGTTTCTAGCACAATACATTAATTGTCCATGTAGAACTAACGTTTAATGCAAGGTTTAATTTAAGGTTTAGCTCTTATTTGAATTATGTGAAATAATTATAAACATGCACAGAGTATATTGCTCACATTAGGGAAAGCTAATTAAAATTGAAATGGTAATTATATAAAAGTATTCTCGTGTAGAGAAGAAAGTCAGGTTTCATAACATTACCAAGAAATTATCAAGATCACATAGGGTAAAAAGGACATGAAGGTTTAATGATAGGCTGCATATGGAAGCTTGCCTTTGGTACCAGGTTTGATATTTGAGGTTTTGATAGATATATGGAAGTATATGTGCTATGTTGTCTTTTTATTGATATTGTTTTAATTGTTGGTTGGAAACCACCCAGAGTTCGATATAAGACGGGTGGTTATACAAATGTTTTAAATAGATAAATAAATGCATCCATCCATTCCTGGACCAAGATGCTCTGTTCAACACACTGATGAATGGACTATTACTATGTGCCTTATGTGTAGCTGCCCTTAAAGAATATCTGAAAGCTACAGTGGTACATATTGCAGTGGCATTATGTGTGCTGCTTGATCAGCCCACATTATACTTCTGCTCTGCAAGCTGCATTGGTTGCCATTTCTAGGTTCAATTCAAGATGCTGGTAATGACCTATAAATTGCTCTGGCTTGCCTGAGGGACTAGATAAACTCTCCCTGATTATATCTACCTTTGGTCCATTATGCTCTTCTGGCTATTTGGAAACATCATCAGGCAAAGAACGTTTTCTGTCATGGCATATAATCTTTGAATTATATGCCATGTCAGAAACAGATTATATATAAACTCCAGAGATTAGATTAGCCCTGAGCCTGCTGGCTGTTCATGAAAACTTAAAAGCATGGGTTTGTTACCAGACTTAGGGATCCAGTTGTGCAGCAGAACCTGTGCAATGGCTATATTCATTTATTGGTTCTGGTTCTACATTTTTACCAGCTGCTGATTGTGTGTGTTGTTTTATGATGTTTTTAATAGTTGTTATCTGCCTTGTTTTTAATGGTTGTTATCTGCCTTGAGTCATTTGAGATGGGCAGCCGTATAAATGGAAATAATAAACAAACATTGACAAAGAATAAAGAGAACAATAAAATGTTCCCTAGAAGAGATTTGTTAGAAAGGAGAAAAGAAATATTAGACTTTCATTTAAATTTGACTTTTTTTTACTCCATGCATGGACCAAAGAAAGTCTCCATTCTTGTTTACCCTTTTCCTACTTACAAGCAAACGGCTTATCCTAACCATACCACTTCTGAGTGGCTTCTGATTTTCTGCCATGTCACTCACAGGTGGTGCTGAGTTTCATTTCCCCCCTAAATATGTTACCCTTCTGTTTGAATATTTCCTTCCCTTTGCGGAGTCCCCTTCATTGGCAACAAAAATTGAAGATGTCTTCTGTGTATTTGTAAACCCAAGAAAGAAAAGTCTGAACTTTATTATTCTGTGGGATATTTCATTTTCATTTCATTTTATTAAATTTGTATACCGCCCTATTCCCGAAGGACTCAGGGCGGTGAACAGCCATAAAATAAAACATATAAATACAAAATTTAAAATAGAGATAAAACAAATTAAATAAATTTGGCTGAACCATTTTAAAACCCCAATAATTTAAAACCAAATTTAAAATTCCCATTTAAAAGAGGAAAAGTTTAGGTCAGGCCGGCTTGCTGGATATAGCAGGGATGAAAGAGCTATTGTTCTTCACGTACAATTTCCAGTATTCAGAATTGATTAGAGTGATTGTGTCTCCTAGGAGATATAACTCAATCACATCTGAAGAGCCACAGTTCTTATTTTTGGGGTCCCATTGTATAAAGAAGCTAAGGGAAATAAGATTCATTATGTCAGTTTCAACATGTACTAAGAACTACGATGGATGAATTTTTGTGTAGAACAAAAGACCTGGGCATTGGACAGAAGTTACAATTAAAAAAAAAAGATTTTTGAAGCTGATACCAAAAATTACAGTATGGGGGCAGGGGTGAAGCATGCCTTGTTGTAAAAGACATTGAATAAAAATATTGATAAAACAAATATTAAAGGATAATACAAAATGCAAATGAAGAGTTGAGGAAGAGGTAGAACCTAGGACAAAATGAAAGATGAAATTTTGTAGGGCAATGATTAGCAACCCAAAATTGCTAATATTTACAGTAGGCCCTCACATCCTGGACATAAACTGTTTCAACTCCTACCCTCAAAATGACACTATAGAGCCGTGATGGCGAACCTATGGCATGCGTGCCACAGGTGGCACGCAGAGCCATATCTGTGGGCAAGTGAGCATTGCTCTAGCTCAGCTCCGGCATGTGGGAAGCGGTCTGTTTCCAGCCTTCAGAGGGCCTCTGGGGGGTGGGGAAGGCTGTTTTCGCCTTCCCCAGGTTCCTAGAAAGGCTCTGGAGCCTGGGGAGGGTGAAAAAATGGGCCTACTGGGCCCACTGGACCATCACATGCCAAAACAGGGTGAGTGCGGGGGAGGTCGCACATCCATGCGCGGGGGCGGAGCACATTGAATTATGGGTGTGGGCACGCGCATGCGCGACCCCCCCACACTCCCCCCGCTTTTGACACGCAACGGCAAAAAGGTTGGCCATCACTGCTATAGAGCACTGCACACCAGAACAACTAGACACAAGAACAGTTTTTTCCCGAACGTCATCACTTTGCTAAACAAATAATTCCCTCAACACTGTCAAACTATTTACTAAGTCTGCACTACTATTAATCTTCTCATCGTTCCCACCACCCATCTTCTTCCACTTATGACTATGACTGTAACTTTGTTGCTTGTATCCTTACGATTTATATTGATATTGTTTCCTGATTGCTTATTTGTACCCTATGACTATCATTAAGTCTTGTACCTTATGATCCTTGATGAACGTATCTTTTCTTTTATGTACACTGAGAGTATGTGCACCAAGACAAATTTCTTGTGTGTCCAATCACACTTGGCCAATAAAAAATTCTATTCTATTCTATTTTTTACAACTTGTATAATAAAGAACTAAAGGGCATCAGAAATAAAAACATAGGTACATAAGCATTTTTTTTTAATTTAAAGAAATATTGTTTGCATGAACTTTATGTTAATGGACAAATGGATGGGAAGGGGATCTGTTAGTTACAGCCAATGAATATGTCATTGTGGAAGTTTACATTTTTATGATGACATATACTACAACAATTTGCATAATGAAAACTTACACACAAGGAATAGAAATCACAGTAGAAATTTGGTATGCTGTATACAAAGTTGATTGTTTGCAGCTGACAACTGATAAATTGAATAACTTTATTCATTTATTTGTTTATTTGTTTAGGGCAATTGGCTACATCATGTCTACATTATTCTATCCAATTATAACCTTTATTCTTATCGCCATCTGCATTTCATACTGGGCAGTGACAGCCGTGTATCCTTTTTATCAAAGAGTAAGTAGTTACAGGTTATTTTCACATCTCCAGGTGAGCACTTTATTGGTACGTACATGCATACACTAAGTATTCATCACACTATTCCCATTTAGGAACGTTATATGGAATCCAGAAAAGAGTGATAAATAGTAAATTCTTAAAAAGGAATGAAAGTAAGAAAAAGGAAACATTGCTAAATGTTATGAAACACCATACACTACAGTAGTCCTCAACATACAACCATAGTTAGGACCAGAATTTGCATTGCTAAGCAAGGCAGTTTTTATGACTTTGCTTGGCACAGTTGTTAAACAAATCACTGCAGTTGTTCAGTGAATCATGTAGTTGTTAGGTGAACCTTGCTTCTCCCATTGACTTTGCTTGCCAGAAGCCAGTTGTGAAGGTTGCAAATGGTGATCACATGACCTTGAGATACTGCAGCAGTCATAAATACATGCCAAGTGCCTGGATTTTGATCATGTGACCATGGGAATTCTGCAGTGGTCATAAGTGCAAAGATAGGTCATACTTTACTTTTTGGTATTGGTGTAACTTTGAATGGTCACTAAAAGAATGGTTGTAAGTTGAGGACTATCTGTATACCTTCCCATATTCTTCTACCCTAGCAAACTATCCTTGTGGATTTTTATATTACAGATAGTCCTCGATTTATGACCACAGTTGAGTCCAACATTTCTGTTGATAAGTGAGACATTTGTTATGTGAGTTTTGCTCCATTTTACAACCTTTCTTCCCACAGTTGTGAAGTGAATCACTGCAGTTGATAAGTTAGTAAGACAGTTGTTAAGTGAATCTGGCTTCCCCATTGATTTTGCTTGTCAAAAGGTTGCAAAAGATGACCTTAGGACACATCAACGGCAAGCATCTTGCATTTTGATCACATGATGATGGGGATGCTGGAAAGGTCGTAAGTGTGAAGAATGGTCATAAGTCCCTTCTTTCAGTATCATTGTAACTTTGAACGGTTACTAAATGAACTGTTGTCAAGGACTTCCTGTACTCCATACACTGCCTTTTATTCTGTAGGCTTCTCACCTCTTTCTTTTTGCAGATCTTTTAATGCCATTCCATTACAGCTTCCTTATTCTGCTCTTCCTCTAGATCCATTATTTCTTCCTTCAGATATTGGTAATTCAGTTGTCAGGTACAAGGTTCCAGGTCAACTTCATGAATAGGACACAGCAGTTTCATTATTGTCGGTCACTTATATTACAAGAATCTCACCACACTTGCTGCATTCCTTTGGGAACCAGTAGATAAGGCTTCACTAGTCTCGTTTATCATGTTTCCTCCTTAACTTCCTCCTCTCCTTTAGTCAACAATTCAATCCTAATTTATTCTTTGTGACCACACCAACATTCTTCTCCCATGCTTCTTTTCATATTTTCATTCTTGCATTCAATCCATGTTTGTATTCTTCACTCATCTATTTTTTTTCTTTTGCTATTAAACACATTTCTTAAGTAAGCCATTCCCACTGCATTCAACTTAGTCTTAGTCTACTCTTAGTAACATATATCATAGTGGGTAGAAGCATGCTATAATACACTTCTTTCAATAATCTTTCTTTGTAGTAGATTACATAGCACCATTACTTTTCACCCTCATTTGCACATGTTAAAATATCTCCATTTCCCATTATACTGTGTTTCCCCAAAAATAAGACCCTGTCTTATATTTTTTTGAACTCCGAAATAAGCGCTTTTCAGGGAGGTCTTATTATTTTGAGGCGCGTGGAGCAAGATGGGGCTCCTCTTGCCGTCTTACCTGATTTCCAGTTCTGTGTTTAAATAATTTTGCAGAGGACTTATTTTCAGAGGGAGGCTTATTTTAGCACATGCGCTCAAAAGGCCGATTGGGCTTATTTTCAGGGAAACAGTGTATAAGCACACAAATTCATATACTCTAGTTTTTTGCAGTTTATCTATAACTTGCAATCATTCATCACAATCTTCCTGTCAGAATTAAGTGCTTTGGTGATTAATTCAATATTATTCACAACCATATCATTTGCTGCATTTGCTGGAAATCATTTACATGCTCCGTCAAGAATATGCATACAAATTATAGATATATTCACCTTCCTAACCAGCACACTTCTAACAAGCTTTGCTTATACACTGATCCCTAAATGCATTAAACAATCAAGGAGAAATCATACAAGCTTGTTATTCCCTGCTCAATATTAATAATTTGTTAAACACTCCATTTATTCTATGGTATCCTTTAGAGGGTGCTTTTAATGCATTCAGCAACCAGTTTTAAACTCTATGAGTCTGCAAAATTGTCATAATTCAAACCTATCCAATTTATCATTTCTTTGTTAAAGCATGAAAGAAGCAAGCATCTTAACCTCCTTCAATAGAAGCTATATTTTGCATAGGAAGAAATCTTGATCTCTTACCCTTTAATTGATTCAAGTATCATGTGATTTTTTTTTTGCCATCAAAAGTGCAGAAAGTTTGAGAACACTTGATTTATTCAAGTAAATAAATGAAGAGAACCTTACAAAATTCAGTATGCATAAAATATCTTCTGTTCTTCAGTGGTTTCTTAATTACTTATTTACATGCTTACATTCCTTCCCAGAACTTCTCTTCCCACTGATTAATTGTGGGTGAAATCCTTACATAAAATGCAAGTTTTGCACTGTTGTGTATGTGATCTTTGAGCTGTACTATTTCTTTTTTCACCTGGTGCCCAAAATTACCAGCAAAGATGTCCTTGATATTAAGTAAAAGAATAACAAATTTTATACCTCTGATTAATTAGCTGCATATCAGGCAGATAGGTTCTTAGAAAATGCATGCATACTATGGTTATCATATCCTGAGTTAGTCATTAAAAAACAAAGGAAATTAAATGTATTCTTTGTGACGCTTCCTCTTGGTAGAATGTTACATACTGTGACTATTTGATTCTGTTTGTTACTTAACCCAATTAAGTTTCCTGGCTACCTCAGGAGAACCTGTGTACAAAGTTATGGCTAATCAAAGTTTATGCAAGTATGCAAATTTGACCTGTTATCCAGAGGTAAGCAAAACCCATTTACATTCTAATCCTTCATTAGTTAATGCTCTATCCTTTCATAATGCCCTATGCTTTAAATTCCCCACATTGCTTCTGACAAATTTGTACAAATGAATCTTTTCAGTCTACTCTAATTGTAAGTGAGTGTAGCATTTAATGAGAGAAGCTTGCATTGACCAGACACATATAGGAGATTAAGTTATTGGTTGTTTGATTAACTTTGTTAAGAGTTTTCTGAAACTGTTAGAAACATTGGATATCTACTGAAGCCTGTGAAGCATCTACAACCACAATACACAGTACTGCCTAAAATGTGTCAACTTGTTTAGGCATTTAGGATGATTTGTAAGAACTATTTTAACAGCTTGAATTCTGCTAAAGCAAAATTTCCATCACTTGCAGAAGTTCTGGGTTTTTTAATAATATCAGATCTAGTATTTTGATTGTGCTTATGCAGTCTATCTCAAGCTGTTTTTATAATACGTTACACAATACAGTTATCTCACTGTCCCAAATGTTAAATATACTGTACATGAGTATCACTAATACTTATGCAATCATTAGCTGAACACTGCCCTCTGTTGTTCTCTGTCCATTCGCCTAACAATGGAAAGATTCACAGTTTGAGACTGTATTGAAATCACTTCATCTCTCCAATTGATTATTTTTCTTTTGTCCCTGAACAGACTTTCAACACTACTAATGTGACCAAACTATGTCCAGGGGCACAGTGTACATTTGCTTTCTACGGGGGAGAAAGTCTATATCACCGCTACATCTTAGTCTTTCAAATTATCAATGTGTTTGTCTTTCTCTGGCTGGTCAATTTTTCGATCGCATTGGGTCAATGTACCCTTGCTGGTGCCTTTGCTTCTTATTATTGGGCCTTCCGAAAACCTGCTGACATCCCACCCTGCCCTCTCTTTTCTTCATTTGGACGAGCAATACGGTAAGTAAAATGTTACGTCAGTGTTTGAATTCACTTCTCCCTCTGACTTCCCTGTCATGTTTTCACACAGATAGATTTTAAATGTATCTATAACTTCCCTTTGACCCTAGAAATAGCAGTAAATTAGAACTACAAATTCACACACACACACACACACACACACACACACACACACACCTGATGAATACATGTTGTAATCCATAATGTTATATATCAGCCATATTAACCGTTTTTGTAACTGTACAATATCTAGTAACATGTTTCTTCTTGAAGAGTAACATTTGAATTTTTTTTTCTTTAGGTATCATACAGGTTCTTTAGCATTTGGCTAAATGAATATATGATGAATACATGTTATAATTCATAATGTTGTATAGTAGAATTTTTATCAGTCATATTAACCTTTTTTGTAACTGTACAATGTCTAGTAACATGCTTCTTCCTGAATTTTGTTTTCTTTAGGTATTTGAATTTGAATTTTTTTTTCTTTAGGTATTTGAATTTGATTTTTTTTCCCCTTTAGGTATCATACAGGTTCTTTAGCATTTGGCTCCTTAATTCTTGCAGTGGTTCAACTAATTAGAGTAATCCTGGAATACCTTGATCACAAACTTAAGGGTGAGTTTCATAATAATAATAATAATAATAATAATAATAATAATAATAATAATAATTTTATTTCTATACCGCCCTTCTCCCGAAGGACTCAGGGCGGTGTACAGCCTATTTAAAAACACAAGACAAAACAGCAGTTAAAAATTAAAATGATTAAATAGATTTGGCTCAATTTAAAACCCCAGAAATTTAAAATACCCCAATTTAAAATTATTATGTTGATAGGCCAGCCTGGCGGAACAACAGGGTCTTCAGTGCGCAGCGAAACACCCGGAGGTCGGAGATCTTACGTATTTCCGGGGGCAGTTCATTCCACAGGGCTGGGGCTCCCACAGAGAAGGCCCTCCCCCTGGGTGTCACCAGCCGACATAACTTGGCTGATGGCACCCGGATGAGACCCTCTCTGTGGGAGCGGACTGGCCGGTGGGAGGCTATTGGTGGCAGAATACGGTCTCGAAGATACCCGGGTCCTATGCCATGGAGCGCTTTCATGAAATAAGACTTCCCTTTTTCAGGTTATGAACACTTGTATGCCTTCTCATTCATATGAAACACAAATTTGGCGGAAGCATTTATAACCATAAAGGGCCTAAATCACAATTGGTTTATATATCTTGTTCCAGTGTTTCCATGTAATGAACTTTGGGAAAATGTATTTTACAACAAGCCATGAATGGGAAAGTTTCTAACCATTGATAGAGTGAATATTGCTTTGTTTAAAATATTTAAATATTTTATTTAAATATTTAAAGCTTTATTCAACCCCACTTTATTCTACATCTCCAATTCTCATGCACCATATAAAATCTTATATATGGCATCATATTGACATTTTGTAATTGTTAAGAAATGTTTTCTCTCTTTCATGCAGGCTCACAAAATGCATTTGCTAAATTCTTGCTTTGCTGCCTCAAATGCTGTTTTTGGTGCTTGGAAAAATTCCTTAAATTTATAAACAGGAATGCTTACATCATGGTAGGTTTTCTTTTTCACTCTCTCCTTTTCCAATACACTTCTATGCAGACTATAACTGATGTGGCAATGCCAGTTTTCCAAATTTTTAATATAATTATTTAAACCATAGTATTTAAACTATTTTTGAATTGAAATGTTTATATCTTTGTTTCTGCATACTAAAAGATACTTTAATATCTAGTCTCAGAAAACTTTAGCATATGTTAACAGCTGTTACTATTCCGCAGATTGCAATCTATGGTAAAAACTTCTGCACCTCAGCAAGGGAAGCGTTCTTTCTTCTCATGAGAAATGTGGTGAGGTAAGGAAGTATAATCCCATAATGCTCCATATATTTGCCTCACTAAAAATGTGCTTGATTAATGTTTTAAATATTCATGTTATTCTCATTTGTCTAAGACTGGTGCCTCTAGATATTTTGAACCATTAATTCCATGATGCTGTCCTGTCCAGAAATTCTTGGAGTTGCAAATGCAATCCTTTTAAAGAATTCAAATTTAGGAACAGATCACATTTAAAGGCTAGATCACATTTTTAATTGTTTCACACAGTGGCAGAGATACCGTGTTCCTCCAAAAAGACGACCCATCTTGAAAAGAAGCCCTGTCATGTTTTTGAGTGCATATGATCAAATTAAGCCCCACCCACAAAATTAGCCCTAATTAAGACCCCACCCACCCCAGGGTACAGGGGGTGGGGCTAGGCACATAGGTAAAAAATAAGCTAGGGTGGGGATAGGGAGTGGAACTGCCCTACTTACCTGGCCTCGCACACCCCAACACCTGCCTCACTTTTTTCTGCGGCTGCTTGCCGCCACTTGCACGCATCACCATGGCGTCCATTTTGCTTTTAGTTGCCTGCCAGCAGGCATCTCCAGCCTTCTATTATCTCTATTATCAGCTGCAGAGGGCTTCCGGCAGGCATCTGAAGGTGAAACGGAGGCCGGGGCAATTCGTACTAGTGGCAGCAAGTGGCTGCAGAAGAAGCGGGCCAGCAGCGGGCTCCTGCTGGGTGGGGCTGTCAGTGCCACCACTGCGAGGTGAGTCAATAATTAGAACCCTCCAAAAAGAAGGCCTACCCGTTTTTTCAGGGTTCAAAAGAAAATAAGACCCAGCCTTCTTTTTGGAGAAACACAGTAGAAACTTTAAATTATGAACTAATGCTACAAACAAGTTTGTGATATATTCACAAAGAATATAGTTAATACACCCTAACATAGATTTATTTGAGTTAATTTGAAAAATGTTATATTTATTTTATTTAAGTGCACACGCCATCCATCTCACATCATATGAATATTAATAAAAGAATTAAACCCAAACATTTTCAGTTTTTATCTTCTTGGGCAGTTTTGTTAATAGAAGATTGCCATGGTGCAGAGGTATGTACATATAACAGATAGAAGAAGGAGGGACACAAAATGAGCAAATAAATCTACAGTATTCCCAGGAATTTTGTACTAAGATGTTCCAGTAGGATAAAGAATGCAAACATAAAACAGGTCTCCCCAGTACAGCTTCCCATTCGATCTGGGACATGATTTAACGGTGTAGAGAGCTGTATTCAACTTGTAGCAGCCCTAAATACAGGTAGTCCTCAACTTACAACAGTTCATTTAGTGACCATTCAAAATTACAACAGTACTGAAAGATGTGACTTATGACCATTTTTCACATTTTCAGGTTACGACCTTTGCAGCATCCCCATGGTCATGTATCAAAATTCAGACACTTGGCAACTGGTTCATATTTATGATGGTTTCAATGTCCCAGGGTCACGTGGTCATCCCTTTTATGACTTCTGAAAGGCAAAGTCAATGGGGAAGCCAGATAGACTTAACAACTGTGTTACTTACTTAACAACTGCAGTGATTCACTTAACAACTGTGGCAAGAAAGATTGTAAAATGGGGCAAAATTCACTTAACAAGTGTCTCACTTAGCCACAGAAATTTTGGGCTCAGTTGTGGTCCTAAGTCGAGGACCACTTGAACAGTTCTTCTCCACATCTAGCTTTATTCATGGAAGTCCAAGAGAATATAGAGTAAAACTATGGTACAGGCATGTCCAACTTGCATCCTGTCAGCCACATGCAGCCCTGGATAGCTAGTAATGTGGCCCCCACAAAATCTTAATCTTTAACATTATTGATACAGAGAGAGAAGGAGGGAGGGAGAGAGAGGGGGGGAGGGAGGGAGGGAGGGAGGGGGAGGGAGACAGAGACAGAGACAGAGACAGAGGGAGGGAGAGAGAGAGAGAGAGAGATTATTATATATCTCATATATGGCTCAAGACAATTCCTCTTCACTCCATGCGGCCCAGGGAAACAAAATGGTTGGCATACCTGGCCTGATATAGAAATAGTCCTTGAGTTACGACCACAATCCAGCAAACAAAAGAATATCTGCTTTTCCCCTTCAATAATTTAAAATACTAATTTCTCTGAGGAAATTAATTATCAGGTTTTAAATCTTTCTCTAAAATGAGATCCTTTAGGTAGATAGAAATAGTAGGTCACGTAGTTATCAAAGTAACCTTAACAGCTAGATACAGACCTTACTGTCTTTGGGGCTTAAAACAACATAAAAATAATATCAGTTTTCTTATCTGTTGCACAGGGTTGCAGTCCTGGATAAAGTAACAGACTTCTTATTATTCCTGGGTAAACTCCTCGTTGCTGGAGCTGTGGGTGAGTCAATCAACTAATTCATTTGTGTGTCTGTGTGTGTTATTTTATTTTATTTTATTTAGAAAAAAATTAAAATACAAAACACAGAACTAAAAAAAAAATCCATTATACACGTTATTTCCTCTATCAGGGGTGGGCAAATGTGGCTCTTTTACAACCTGTGGACTTCAACTCCCAGAATTCCTGAGCCAGCTGGCTCAGGAATTCTGGGAGTTGAAGTCCACAGGTTGTAAAAGAGCCACATTTGCCCACCCTGCTCTAGTTGAACACTGATTAATATATTACTACAACATTAGTTCTAATCAATTAACTCACATTCATTGTTTTCAGTTTTCTTAAGGCCATTGGTCATGGTAAGCTGATTGTTGACACAAAACTCCTGTATGGGTAGTCTTTGACTTATGAGCACAATTGACCGCAATTGTGCAAGGATAGGATGGACCATTCCCACAGAGGTTATCACAGGGAATGAGGCTGTTATCAGCTAGGAAGTGATCTAATCATGGCAAAGAACTAATACAGGTAGTCCTCAACTTACAACAGTTTGTTTAGTGACTGTTTAAGATTACAATGGCACTGAAAAAAGTGACTTATGACCATTTTTCACACTTACGACCATTGCAGCATCTCCATGTGATCAAAATTAAGCCATTTGGCAACTGACTCATATTTATGAAGGTTGCAATGTCCTGGGGTCATGTGATCATCTTTTGTGACCTTCTGACAAGCAAAATCAATGGGGAAGCCTTAGTGTTACTAACTTAACAATTGCAGTGATTCACTTAACAATTGTTGAAAGAAAGGTTGCAAAATGGGGCAAAATTCATATAACAACTGTCTCTCTTACCAACATAAATTTTGGACTCAGTTATGGTCATAAACTCAAGGACTACCTGTAATAAACATTCCCCAGCAGCAGATCAAAAGATAAGTGTTCTGAATTAAAAGAATTTGTATATTATTTGTATATTATATATGTATATTATGCACATTATTTTATAACTAGAAAATGAATGAGAGTTGTCTGAAATGAAACCATTTAACAGTGAAATTACTTCATGCTTCCCTTGTGCTTAAGAATAAATTTCTGGAACTAATTAATTTACATTCTTTCTCCTTCCTGCTTAGCATAGCTGTTATTCTAAATTAGTATCTCAATTTATCACTAAACATACTGAATAAGATTAATTGAAAGTAGTTAAATGGTTCTCCAAGAAATAAACTAGATAAGCTTTTTTTAAAATCAAGTTTGGGTTTCTTTTCTGTTTTGGTAACTGCACATGTTATTAAAAAGAGACAGAAGGAATGATAAAATAAATTAAAATCTTCTGGTTGCATGAATTATTCACAGATAATTAATTGGAATGCGAATTTTAGACCACTACAAATAATTAATGTAGGGATTTATTGTTTGAAAAATTATGTTATAAAAACTCTCATGGGCCCTGTTTCTGAAAATGCAGGTATGTTTAAATGGAGATGCCTAAATGGCTTGGGGGTAAATAGTTGAATAGCAATAGCACTTAGACTTACATACCGCTTCACAGTGCTTTATAGCCCTCTCTAAGCAGTTTACAAAGTCAGCATATTGCCTCTAACAGTCTGGGTCCTCCTTTTACCAACCTTGGAAGGAAGAGTCAACCTTGAGCCTGTCGGGATCAAACTCCTGGCAGTTGGCAGAATTACCCTGCAATACAGCATTCTAATCACTGCGCCACCATGGCTCTTTTAAAAATAAATCATTTATACAGGACATTTATGTATATTCCCAGACATGGAATTATCTATTGCAAACTATATTGTTTGTTTCAAAATATGAGAGATAAAAGAGCTTTGAAATCTAACTAAGACATATTGTAGCTAATACTCTCTCTGTGGGTTTTTTTGTGTCTCCTGCAGGTGTCCTAGCCTTCTTTTTCTTCACACACAGGATACCAGCATTTGCACAAGAAGCACCTTCACTGAATTATTATTGGGTCCCCCTCTTGGTAAGTTCAAATGAAGAATTAAAGGTCCAAGCATGAGGTTGGCTTCTGGCATGGCGAGACGATCGGATCATGCCTCTCCAGCCCCTAACAAGACAAGCAATCCCACACTTTGATTTCTTTTGATTCTGATTTATTTAAAACATCTTTGCTTATTGCTGCTCAGATACACTCTGGGGAAAGTGTCTGCAGCTACAGTACTATCTCAGTCTCCACAGATTAGCTCTGATTCACGTTCAGGAATGGGTGGGGGATCAAATTTGACTTGATATTTGGATTCCAATTCATATTTTGGGCAAGTAGCATGATCTTCTCCAGATAGTTTGGATTACATCTTTAGAGATTAATTTGCTGCTTTCATATTGGATAGGGCTGATGGACATTGGAACCCAAAACATAGGGAGATCCCAGGTTGTTTGCTTTCCCCTATCTGCCTTGCTCTTCTGCACCTCTGTTTGGATTTTTTTAAAAAGAAAGAAGTCCCTGACTATGTACTATGTGCCTTTAAAGAAAGGTTGGGCAAGACAGAAGAAGCAATGGATTACCAGCATAGTTCGCAATGGGTTAGTGTAACATTAAAGGAAGATGTAACTTGAAACTACAGTATCCCATCCAGAAATCTATTAATAACATTGTACTTTGCTATTAACAGCCTTGTCCACTGCACCAGTTCTAGTAAATCTGCTAGGGCATGGAGAGGAGGGAGGACTGTGGAATCACTGTTACTTGCTAAATTTAGAGTCAGGAATATCTTCAGAAAAACTATCACAATAATGTAAATATTATAACGGCCGCACAAATATCATTTGCACAAAATTGGAAAAATAAAAATACACCAACAGAGGAAGAATTGATAACAAAAATCTTAGAGTGTGCCGAGATGGACAAATTAACAAAAGAACTTAAAGAAAAGGAAGATATGGAATACTATGTAATATGGAATAAATGGTACACTGGCTGGAGATTAGAAATAGTGAACAATAATGAAAGAGGAGAAATAATAAATGTAAAAGGTTTATAGGACAATGTATAAAATGTACAAAATTAATATGATTGTTAGGAATTATAATGTAAATAAGAGAAAAAGGGACAAGAAGGAAAAGTACAGTATAAGGGGAAATAGGGGAAGATGTAAATATTAGAAGATGACAGTTACAAAACAGTTGTAAAAAAGGAATTTATATTATGTGTTTTGTATTTGTTATATTGTGTTGTATTATAAATAAATTTTTAAAAAAAATAATAATGTAAATTTAACATGGTTTCCTTTTTTTTCCAGACCGTCATTTTAGGGTCGTATCTGGTTGCACACGGATTCTTCAGTGTCTATGCAATGTGTGTTGACACACTTTTCCTCTGTTTTTGTAAGTCATCAGCCTTTTGTGATTTATTTCCTCTTTCAGTAATGCTCAGATAAAGGACTGGTAATTCAACTTCCTAACAAAATCCATGAACATGTTGGAGGGATCTGTTTCTTGCTTCTCTTGTTACAGTTTACTCAGTTGAAATTTTTATTGCATGGGCAATCACATGTCAGATGTGATTTCATTAGTCAGCTAGTGACCTATTACTAAATGCTAATTACCATTATGGTTTTTTTGAGAAACTGCTCCATAATAATTACTAACTACTAAGTATTTTATAGCTTCATTTTGTCCAGCAGCATTTAAGTAGATAAGTGTTATGTGTTCTTGCTAATAACATCCTTGCTGTTTTAATCATGACAGCTGTGTTGGTTGAACTTAAAGTAACATATTTCCTCTTCTGCAACCAGGTTGGCTTTAAAAGAGCTGGAATATATATTTCTTCTTCTTCTTCTTGTGCCATGTCCGTCATCGGACGTTGGCGATCATGTTGGCAATCCTATTTTTGTCAACAGCCGCATGAAAAAGGGCTGCTGAGTTTTGTCCATATTTTACTTGGGAGCATGAATTAGTAACTGTTCCTGCACTAGTCTGTGCTCTGTATGCAAATAAGTTTAGCCATCCTTATGAAATTATAAAGATGACAAACGTCTTTGAGCATCCTAGTTGTGGAAATCCCACTTGCTACTGGGAAAGCACTAAAGACAGAATTTTAGAAAAATGATCCAGAGCTCAATAAATAATTATGATTCCCATCTCCTTAGATGGAGAGAGCTCCATCTTTTGGTTGTGAATCAACCATTTGTAAACTTGACCTTTATATGACCTATACTTGCATGGGAACTGTAGTCCTAGTATTCTAGTTTTCCATGTCATCAGAATCTATTTTATTCCAAAAGAATCATTCAACTGTCAACATATCATCTTATAATTGCAGTTGATTTACCATTATGCTCCTCATCCCAATCCAACCCACCCCGCCCAAGACTACTGTGGAAATACAGTATTGATGGGTTCTGTGCTTCACCACCAAGTATAAGTTAATTATTTAACTTCAAAGTTAACCTGTTGCATGGGCAAAAAATATGGATCACAGCATGGCTTAATGCAACTTAGCTATGACTTGTTTGGTATTGACCTGAAATTGCTTATATGAATGCTTTTTTGATATTCTGCAATGGCATCACACACTGAAATTCAGCTCTACCATTGTAGGAATTCTAATGATTCTTTTCCTCTTTTTCTTCTGAATCTCTCCTTTGTTTTGTTTTGACTGCATGTCTGCTTTTTGCTTTGGCTCTTTTTGACCACTTTCTACCCAGGCGAAGACTTGGAAAGGAATGACGGATCTACAGCAAAACCTTACTACATGTCAGCTAGTCTGCACCGGATTTTGGGGAAGAAGGAACTGAGTCCCAAAAAGTTAATGGGATAATGCTCAAAATTGCAAGAGTGCTAGTTTTAAGGAAGAGGAGGGAAAAACATTTTAAAAGCAGAATGCGTATAATTTAGACAAAAGATTTTTTTTTTAAAGTATGACGCTTCTGGTTAATAAATCATTTGTGTTGCTTTGTACTATCTAAAAAATAAGCAAACAGGCAACATTTTCAAGACGTCTTTTTAACCGCTGTGAAATAAGGTCACATCATAGTTTTTATAGAGTGCCTATGGGAAACGTGTAAATGTGAAGCTTCTTTTTTTTAATCTTTAGCTCTTAGTGTTTTAATAACTTTTCTAACCTGAGATTTTGCTGTCTGAAATGACAGCCATTTTGATAACTTTTTTTATAGGTGTATATTTGTAAAGGATATTCAGGCAATTTTTCAAAGCACTACAATGTATCCTAATTAGCCATAAACATATCAAGATTATCGGTAACCAGCAGGTGGTCCTAAATTTGTAATGATGGTGCTATGGCTGTATTTTTACTGTATGTGCTGATTGACAGCTACTTAAACTGTGACTAAAATATATTAATGGTTCCCTATAAGGAAGGGCACATTGCTAATTCAGTTGCCTCCTAAAAGTTGAGATGGAGATAAATTGGGCTCCTGCTGATTTATCTCTCTCTCTCAAAAAAAGGGTAAAGATTCTTTAAATATCTTCACTTTTTTAAAGAAAAAGAATGTCACACCAATATCTATTATTCATTTTTTTAAAAATGTAAGTCATGCAATAGCCCCTGTTCACCACCAGATGCAATATTTATGAGTGCAGTTGCAAAATGTTATTAATAATACTGGTTAAGAGTGCCATGATTTTATATGCCCTATGTAAACATTTTTTTCTAGAAAAAAAATCCATAAAATAAAATCCAATATTAGTTTTTCCCCCCTATGGAAGAAATCCTTGTAAACAAGTTGGTCTTTCCTAACTTAGTCTTCTGGAGATTTGTTAGAACTTCTTCCCTACCAGTTCAATCTTTGTTCAGTGTATCTTTGAAGACATCAGGTTGAAGAAGGTTGATCTGATCTAAAACTCAGATCATTTGCTTTTTGTCATATGTTTTTCTCCTTCTTCTTCTGCATGACAAAGACAAAGAATTAAGGCTCATTTGCCTTTTAGGTCCCTCTTGCATTATTTATATGAACACGTGATCATTTTTCATTCAGAGAGGAAAGAAATGAGAGAGGTGTAATATGAATGAATATTCCTTGTAGCTGAAGTTAAAAAACCTGGTCTTGAGTCAGATAGAAAAAGACCTAATGAGTAAATATCAAAAATTAGTATCCTGCATCATAAAATAGAACGCAGTCTTGCGAAGAAAAATGCATTTTTCTTATTCATAACTGGAATTCAAAATGCATTAATCCCATTTTATATTAGTAAAAGCTGGGGAGAGAACATATTCTAAGCAGAGTTCCTTCACAGTCATGCTGCTTATTTAGCAGTTATCACATATGAAGTTTTATTTCTGTTAAACATTAAAACAATGGGTAGCTTTAGTTATACTGTTTCTCCTGGATCATGAGAGGCTTTTGAAATAGGATACATTGTATTAAAAATATGTAATCATGAATTCCATTATCCCCTCATGACATTATACTCTGTCATTAACACAGGGGTGATTGGTCTCAATTCTGATTGAAACTTGTGTCCAGATTTGCATCGGTAATTCTCCTTTTTTCTCTAACTTATTGCACAAATGCCAAGCTTATCATTCTAAAATTGGACCCTCCAAAATTCATTCAACAGAACAGCCTAGTTCTACCATCAAGATGGACTTGGTTTTAAGATAATTGGGGAGTTCAACCGATATTAATTGGATTAATATAGAATCTTAGGTGGGTTTTTCCCCAGCATTTTAACTCTTCTGTTGCAAAGAAGAAGCTTTTTCCGGAAGTCCATTCTGTTAAAAGGAGCAATTTATTTCCAGATGAGAATATTTTTTTGAGAAAGGTGCTTACATCATTTGTATTCCAAAACACCTGAGAAAGCTATCAGTCTGAAATAAATTATATATATGCACTCAGCTGAATGGCCATTTCAGTGAGTAGATGTACTTTTTCACCCAGACAAGTGTAATTCATCCAGATTTGCACATAGTTAGCTTTCCTGGAGGAGGGATTATTTTGCTACCTACTACAGCAAAAACTGTTCTAGAAGGTTGAGGAGCTCTCTGGGACAACAGGAGTGATGCAGGAGGAACCAGGATCTGGTTAGAGTCATTTGTCCTTCTCTCAGCTGGAGCCTCCAAAAGAGTGTGCCTAATGGAATGGTCCTTTCCATTTAGAGGAAGGCAAATTTGTTCCTTTCTGTGCTACTAAAAGGGAGAGCAAATTAGTTTCCCTGCATGCAAATATACAAATTAAAAGATGAATAGAGCCTCTTAACTACAACAATCTTTGAGCACTGAGCAATCGAGTGTTAACTATTTGGAATGTCCCTAGAAGGCAACTTTTATCCATGGATAACTGGACAGCAGATTGAATCATATGTAATTCATTATTTTTTTAAAAAAAACACATTTTCCCATTGTAATGCCTGTTCAAACATTAGATAATGGCTATATATGAACCCACCTAGCATGCTGTTATTATCTTGGGATATATAGCAGAGGTGGTATTCATCAGGTTCTGACCAGTTCTGGAGAACTGGTAGCGGAAATTTTGAGTAGTTCGGAGAACCGGTAAATACCACCTCTGACTGGCCCCGTCCCCATCTATTCTCTGCCTCCCGAGTCCCAGCTGATCGGGAGGAAATGGGGATTTTGCAGTAATCTTCCTCTGGAGTGGGGAGGGAATGGAGATTTTACAGTATCCTTCCCCTGCCACACCCACCAAGCCACACCCACCAAGCCGCGCCCACAGAACCAGTAGTAAAAAAATTTGAATCCCACCACTGATATATAGTAGGCAAAATCATTGACTTAATCCTTGTTAAGCATGTCCTTGCATATTAAATCTTCGGATTAGTCTTAAATGTTTTCAATTGAGATAAATTGATGATATTCATTTGAAAAACAGCAAGAATGCACTTTTAAGTCACAATACAACCAACAGACATCATTAGGTGTCTTTAGGAATTGTTAGGTATAACACTGAATTGTTTCTAAATAATTAGAACTGATTCTAACAATTATTAGAACAGGAGTGACATCTGTAAAATGTATGTTGTTATCATACTGATTAAAACAGGGGTTTAGCAATCACTACAAAGAAGTTAACACATAAAGGAGAAAAAACAAACTAAGAATTTGCCAAAGAAGTCACAAAATTACTTTTTTTCCACATGCAATCTTTATTCTGGCCTGGTTTTTATTTAACAAACCATGGTTAAAATAAACTGATTTAATATGTGTGAGCATAGCGGATAGGCTGTACTTGAACAAGTAAACCCAGTCAGAAATAAAATGGAGAAATGCCCTTAAGGGAAACATTCTAAACAACTGGGGGAAAAAAGTGAAAATGCTAAGCAATAGCACTGAAATTTGGCTGCCATTCAGCCAATTTGAAATGTTCAATAATGGCAAAGTGTACATCTGATAGGCAAAATTCCTGAATATCTTTCTCAGAAATGAATGAGCATTAATGTGCAAACTAAGTAATAATTTATTTTTGAAAGGCAAATAGCTTTGAACTTTGACTGATGTGTTTCTTAATCATTAGGACAAACCCTACCGGTTTGTTATAGTGTCCATTTTATGCATATAGTGCTTTAACATAAAGCTAAAGCTTGATCAAATGCACTTCCTTGCTTTAGAGAAGTCATAATGTACTAGAGAAATCATTTCTTGATGAGATGATAAGATTGAAATAGGCTTGGATCCTGCACTCCTTCGAGTCAAGAGCCGAGACAAAGGCCTTCTTGATGGAACTGGTGCAGCATCTAGCCCACCTGATTCTAAAGGGCTGATTATATTATTGTGCCAGTGTTTACAGTGTAATAAATGCCAAAACATCCCATGTGTAATATATGTGAGATATATATATCTCGCCAGGCATTTGCTGTTGTGCACAAAAGAGCCAGCAGATGGAAGTATTGGATTGGTTTCATTTTTTGCTCTCTGCCTTTCTTCCTCCTAGTGGGAGATTTAGAAAGTCAGGATGGTTCTACCAAAAGACCTTATTACATGAGTAAATCTCTGCTGAAGATACTCAACAAGCATAACATGCAAAGCAAAAGACATTAGAGAAGGTGGACTGTCCTGACCACAGCATTGCATTGGGTCTGGTGCATTGTTTCTGCAATACGTTGTCAGCTTTTACTTGTGCAAGTTTTATACCAAAGCTATTGTACCCCGTGAAACCATCTGAGTTTGTCGTGACACCAATCTTTAAAATTCCAGGGACAGAGGAAACATGAGAGATTTCTTTTTTTCCCCCTTCTCTCTCTCTCTTGATTTCTCTCTTTAATTATTGTGGCTTGGATATTAAAATGTTGGCTGTTGTTTTCTTTATTTTTCTTCTTTTAAAAAAGAGGTATGAAATGTTTTACTGTTAAAAATTTTGTCCTAGGTGAGTAAACAGATTTTTCAAAACAAGGTTAAGAGTTTCCAAGGAAGAAAACCTGTAAATGTCCTTTTTCAATATATATGGTCAAAGAATATGTAAATGTCTCTTGACTGCATTTCAAGTTTTGTCACTTTCCTAGCCTGTACAGCTGTGTGCTCCAATACAAAGTGCCTTACTGGCTATTGGTATCAACTAGTTTATGTTCCGAAGTTTACAAACACCATTTGAACCATTAATCTACTATTGCTTGAAACAAAAACTCTCTTTCGATTTACTTGAAAGTATTGGTACAAGTTTGGTTGTCTTATGTAGTTGCAAATGTTATAAAATCTGTATTTTCCCACCTCCATCTGCTCTAAAAGCAAAGCAGTGGCCAATATAACATTTAGGTTTTTCAGCTTAGTTTTATCCAGCTTGATTTATAATTCAGGATATTGAGTCTCTGCTGACTTTCCACTTCAAAATATGTTGCAATCCACATATAAACCTTGTTCTGGGGGCATTTATTCAACTTCTTCAATCCAGATCAGAAATAGGTATGCCAACTTTTCAGCCAGATGTTTTATCTATCTTCTGAGCGGCAATTTGACCCACCACAATTAACAATAAATATTTATTGCCTTTCTAAGAAATATTATCAGATGATCCTAATTTTAGAAAGTCTTTCCTGCAAAAGAAAAGTAGATTAGATAGAAAAAATTATAAAGAAAGAAAAACTGCAAGAGCAATGCCAAGATCTGCATCCCACTTTCCCCCAATCTATCTAGGGTGGCATCAACTCCAAGATAAACCAGACCAGCTTCTCCTATCCCATGTCACAAAACCATATCTGCACTTGTATACATACCTGCCAAAAGCCACATGACAGAAAGAGCAGGTCAAGATTTTTTAAAAAACTGAAATATTAACCACTAATTAATATTGCCTGTAAATTAAGGTATACAGGTAGTCCTTGACTTACCATCATTCATTTAGTGACTGAAGTTACCACAGCACTGAAAAGAGTGACCTATGACCCGTTTTCACACAACCACTGCAGCATCCCCCATAGTCACATGGTCAACATTCAGGCTCTTGGCAACTGGCATGTATTTAGGAAGGTTGCGGTGTCCCAGGATCATGTGATCACCATTTGTGACCTTCCAGCTTCCAACGAACAAAGTCAGTGGGGGAAGCCAGACTCAACACTTAACCACGATTGAACTTCACAACACAGTGATTCACGTAACAACATAGCATAAAGGTCATAAAATGAAATAATTCAGTTAACAACTGCCTAGCTTAACAACAGAAATTTTGGACTCAATTATAGTCATAAGCCGAGGACTATCTGTATAATTGAATATGGAAAACAAAAAACACATTTCCTTCCTTCCTTCTTCCTTCCTTCCTTCTCCCAGCAAAAGAAGAAACATATAAAGGATATGAAGTGAGGGAAATGGGTAGATGTGCAAGAAAGCGCGGGGGGGGGGAGCCTTATTTAGGAATTGCACAAAAGGCTGGAAACTCATTTGGCAACTCTTCCTCTGTATGAGGAAGAGTTATTCAAAGTGCTTGTGCTTTTCTGCAGCGATGTTTGCACTCCCTGCCCATTTTTTTTTGCTTTATTAGCCAACCTAGGAAGAACCTTGCTCCCTTTACAGATTTGAAGGAGCATGAAACAGCTGCTCCAGTTACAGCCACAGGGATCAGCTGTGAAGTTGGCAGTCCTACAGACAAGCTCCCATGTGAATGCTGGGAGGAAAAAGAAATATTTTTCTTGTTTGGCCTTGTATGTGTGATGCCTGTAGATATCTCGGCTTTCAGAGCTGATGAAAACCATGCCGGGGGTGAGTGGGTGTTGTTTCGTAAAGCAGAGCTCCAAGCCTGCGGCTTGAGCGAAGTAGGGCTGCACCCTCGGAATTTGTGTGCATGCTTAAATTACCGTTCTGTTGGTTGTCTGCAAATGCACACCTCATGATTAGCTCAGAGACACCCCCACTCAAAGCATAGAAAACATGGGTGCCAAACTGTGTTGCAGTGCTGAGCATTCTCGCTGAGCATTCCCAGGGAGGAATATTTTCAAGGAATGGAAGCTTGGAAGAGTATTTTGCAAAGTAGTCCTCTGAACGCTACGGCCATTTAGTAATCATTACTCTGAAGTTACATGAACGAATGTTACACTAGCAGTGGAAGTTGTGACTGGATAGCACTGCTACTTAACCACAGGTAGAATGGATATGTCCCTTTAGTTTTGCATGTGCCCTTGCTTTTATCAGGACAGTTATAGCCCCTGTTAATTTCAATTAATAAATACTACTTAACAAAACTTACAATATTGCAGTTTTTTAAAAAGCATTTCTTAGGTCTAATAGGACAACAGGACATCTAAGAGTGTAAACTTTACATGTTTGCTCAGAAGTAAATCCCACTGAATTAAATGAAACTTGTTTGTTTCCTACAGCTATCCCATACTTTGCTCAGTGTTACAATATTAGACACAAAGCTTAACTGAATTTATTTGGTAGCAAATCCCCTTGCTTCTGACTATCTGTGCCTAGGTTTGTGGAATTAAGGGTAAATTTTGGCTTTATTAAAATTAGAAACACTCATTATTGCCCCTGGAATCAAGATATATTTTTAGAGCCAATTATACATCTTGTACTTCCATGCACTAATTAGCGAAGTCAGAATCACTTCATCATCAATTATTCTATAATTTAGAGTCCTGTTTTGTAAAGTACAAGAAACTGGAACAAGGAGATACATATAGTACACTGGTGTAAAGTATTTATTGCTTTGTTAACAGGTGTTAAAAGGCTATTTCATTTCTAAAATCCATCTAAAGATAAGATGTTATTTTAAAGGATGAATTTTAATTTTCTAACTTTTGATACAATCTATTATTCCCCTTCTCAAATGTTAATTAACATTTATAGTTCATGGTAATAAAAGAGAATAGCTTCTTAGTTTCTGAGATGTATATTTAATACTTCCTTAAACAATGCAGCCTGTGATAAGGGGTACATCACCATTTCAAATATGTACTCGTAATTTGCATGGTAACAAATGAAGGACGTTTTCTGTTTCTTGGCTGATCACATTTCTACTTCAAATGTGATTTTTAGAGACTGTTTTTGTGCCCAAACCAAATTAACTTGAGCACATGGCCGTCTGAACTTTAAAATCTATTTGCTTCTGCTGTGCAGAAATTTTAGAAACATATTGTTGAAAATATCTTTGCAGAACTTAATATTTAACACAAGTTGTTGTTACTTATTGTTTAACAGCTCTTAAGATTTGTTCTAATAAAGGTTTAGATATAAAATGATGACTTTGTTTTTTGCTTCCTCTCTGAGTATAATAGACTCAAATGATACAGTATGTGTGTTCTTTCCCTACAGAGCCTTGCAGTACTTCACTGTTCCACCAGGGGTGGTATTCACTTACCTTCACCACCAGTTTGCAAATTCAAGCGTGTGTGTGCCTCCTCCGCACTTGCGCAGAGCAGGGGTGGGTTCTAGTTTAATACCGATTCGCAATGGGACCGCACATGCGCGCTCGCTTCGCTCACTTGCACGCGCACTCTTCTGCGCATGCACAGAAGCTTCTGCACATGCACAGAAGCTTCTGCACATGTGCAGATCACCAGTGATGACATTGTGGCAGGTGGGCAGAGCCTCCCGCTGGTTTTACAACCAGTTCTATAGAACCAGACCAAACCAGGGGCAACCCACCACTGGCGCAGAGGGTCAAAAACGAGCCTCCTGCTGCCGGCGCTACCAGATCGCATGATCCAGATAGAACTGGCTGAATTTCACCACTGTGTTCCACAAAATCTATTTGATTGGTTAATTCATGTTTACTTAGCAATAAGTCCCATTGGTTTTATTAGGACTTCCTGCATAATACCATATGTGGTGCCCTGTCATGTGTTACTCAAATATAATTCCTAATGGTTCTAGATAAAGTGTCAGAAAATTACAGCCAAAGAGACACAGAACTTGTGCAAGATATCCATTTTACTTGTCCCAAATTTTAAAAAAATACAGAGAAGTGTTCAAATGATTCTCCATATTGTTGATAGATTGAAAAGCAAGGATGTCTATCCAATCCATGGCTCCTTTTTATGTCTTTTAAAGCCATTCTGAACTGCCAAGTTTTATTTTATTGCTACAGATTTTCCGCCACCCAATTTCCTTGTTTTCATCATGGTCTAGGATCAGTTGAAAACTAGAGAAAGCTTATTACTGTACTGTAATTATTTCCAAAGCCAAGTGATAGATTTGTATGACTTTGGAAAGTCATTGGAAAGAATCTTTCAACTTGAAAGCATTTTAAAAATTGGAATACAAGTAGTTCTCGACTTGCAACAGTTTGTTTAGTAACTGTTCACAGTTACAACAGCACTGAAAAAAGTGACTTTTTCACATGACCACTGCATGGTCATGTGATCAAAATTAAGGCACTTGGCAACTGACTCATATTTATGGTTGCAGTGTCCTGGGATCAGTGTGATCACCTTTTGCAATGGGGAAGCCGGATTCACTTAACAACTATGTTGCTAACTTAACAAATGCAGTGATTCACCATTGTGGCAAGAAAGGTCATAAAATGGGGCAAAACTCACTTAACAAATATCTCAGTTAGCAATAGAAATGTTGGGCTTGGTTGTGGCCGTAAGTCAAGGACTACCTATAGTGGGAGATTTAGATCTACCATATTTTTTGGAGTATAAGACACACTTCCCCACCCCCCAGAGAGAGTGGAAATGTTGGTGCGTCTTATACACCGAATACAGCCCTTTTTGGCCTCCCGAAGCCCCGCCCCACTCATCCCATTTTTGAAAAAAATGAGCCAGTTTTTCACAAAAACAGGGTGCACAGAGGGTTTGGGAAGCCTGCAGAGTGCTCCTGGGGACTGGGGAGGGCAAAACACCATTTTTGCAAAAACGGGGGCGTTTTTGCCCTCCCCCAGCCCCCAGGAGCACTCTGCAGGCCTCCCAAACACTCTGCGTGCCCCATTTTTTGAAAAAAATGGGGTGCACAGAGGGTTTGGGAGGCCTGCAGAGTGCTCCTGGGGGCCAGGGAGGGCAAAAACTTTTTTTTCCCTTACTTACCTCTTCGAAATCTTGGTGCGTCTTATACACCGGTGCGATTTATAGTCTGAAAAATATGGTAGTTAACTCTTGCTCATATAGGAGCAGATGATTCTGATATTGTTCTTGGTACTAAGCTCTTCTTTGTTGACCATTCACAAGGCACCATTATCTAGGGTTAACTGGTTCACATGACACAATGAACTAAATCACACTGGCTTGCAAAACATGAGGGGATTGGCTAGTTTGTGATTTAGTATTCAGACAAGCACAATTATAGTTAAATGAACAAAAAGGTCAAAAGGGGTACACTCTTCTCCATCTGCATTTCTATTTCTGAGTGGGAGAACTCTTGTTCATTCTGCAAAGCACATGGAATATGTTCTAAGCACTAAACACTATAAACAACATATGATACAAGTTTACAACAATATTTCATCATTTATAAATGAAAGCATTAATCATCTTGGATTAAGACAAAGAATGTATTCTAATCTAAAAGCTGGGATCGGGAAGGATTGTTGAGAGTCCAAGATCTTTAAAGTATATCCTATATTTACAGAGTTGTTTTTAATTAAATCTGGATTTCTTAAACTGCTCCAGCATTCCTTTTGTGTCATATGCATGTGCTATGGATTGGACTACAATTCTTGGTTATCCTTGATTATTGTGCCTTTGCACATTCCCAAGCCATAACTTATCACAAGCTGCTTGCTTTCTCATCTTTAAGGCATGCTCATAAATAGGCTTTTGGTGATTGATGGGTTTTCTGTAACACATAGTTTTTCTTAACCTTTATTTTAGATTTAAATCCCCCATTGGCAGAAGGCCATAGAAATCTTAATCCATCACCAGCTGAATTTTAAAACTGGGGCTCATTTCCCCCCTTTAATTCCATTATAAATATTCTGAACTAAACTTCATGGCATGTTCGCTAACTAGTCCATTGCTTAAATATAAGCCATGCTTCTCCATCTTCATTATAATTATATTTTTTCTTTTGTTCCTAAAGTGATTTTTTTGGGGGGGTGGTGGTGGTAATTGTCTCATTTTTATCACCATATCAAGCGTGTAAGGTCATTTAGACTAGAAATAGTGACTGGCCCAAACACATCCAGAGATCTTTGTGGTTCACTGAATCCTTGAACTCAGATTGGTAAATAAACTAAGACCAAATTAAGTTGGTTTTCATTAGCCTGCATCTTCCAAATCAAATGTGAAAGAGGATACAGTTGGCCTTGTGTAGACAGTCCTTTTTCTGAATACTGACTGTGGGTCCCTTTGCATGTAACAGAGGCTAGGAATTAAAGAAGTTATTCCTGCTAATAGTCTCCACATGGAGTGAATTTTCATAGTAAAAATGGTACTCTTGCTTCAAAACACAGTTTCTCTCCTTGATGCAGGCAATGAGCATAAACATAATAAAAGTGATCATTGCATTGCATTGAGTCATAGGCAAGTCCTGTGCTTTGTGGTGTTGGAAGCATTATTTCATTTTTGAAGAATGCACAAATCTATGATTTATGTTCACTAATTATTATCCTCTGAAAAATTTCTACCGTAAACCCCCAACAGTGCAACTTAGAAAAGGTGTTGTTTCCTTTTACTTTTAACAGAATTTTACTACACCTCAAATTGTAACTTTACTATACACCAGCTCCTGTTGCTTATTAACAGACAGAATGTTTTTTGCAGGGAAAGGAAAAATTACAAAGCAATTTCTAATGCATCCTTTGGACAGATATATTGAAAATGGAAGTTGGAAATGTTACCTCTCCCCTTAAAATTATAGAAATATAATATTCAAACAGGACAACAGTTGCTTCTGTGTGCAAATGTGTTATATGTTTAGGGTTTCTCAGAGCTTTGATAATGCATTGTTAAAAAACAAAATACAAAATTAAAAAGACCAAAACATTTTCCCTAGTTGCCCTTCTTGCTGTTGTCTGAGCAAATCAATTTCCCCCCCTCAGTACATTTTCCTATCAGCATATCCCAAAGCCTCATTTCTGATCATTTGGCTATATAAGACTAATTATGTAGTTTCACTTTTACATATGAAACATTTGCATTTGGGAAAGGAGAAAAAATACTGCTAACACGGGCATTGTTTTCTCCAGTAATAATGTAATTTGCTTATATGTAAATGTTATAAAACCAGAGAAACCAGAGGGTTTATTTAAAAACTTCTAAGGAAGACAATATCCAAGCATCCCCCAGTAAAAGCTAGATGTTCCCTAGGCTGTCCAGTTAAGGAACACTTCTGTCTTCATCTCAGTCCTAGGAAGTACAAATGAATGTGATAGGGAGCCTCCTGCCTACCATCCAGAATTACAGAATTTAAATGTGAATGCCAATCCTGAAACAGTGCAGCTATGTAAGTGTGCAGTTTTGCAAATGGGGTATCCTCTAGTGAATTCTAAAATCAACGCCCAGACTGCAGATGTAAAATAAGAGTTTATTAAGGGGAAATGCAAGCAAAACAAGAGAAGGCAACAAGCACATAGGATTTCAAATCAAATCAATTCTACCTGCTTGGATCAAGTCTTTGATCTCAGCACATACTCATTGCAGAAAAATTGGTTGAAAATGTTCCTTTGACCCATTTAGATGTTTGTAGGAAAGTTCTTCTTTCTTCTACTGTTGCTTCTTGCTTTGCTGGTTATTTTTAAGCACTTTCCACCATTTTTATATTATATGAAAAGTAAATCAAAGCCAGCCTCTTTGGTGAGACACTGTTGTTTTTTCCATCAAGGAGAATCTCCCACCTATTAAGTCCTGATTCTACCCAGAAAATCAAAAATCAGCTAGAAGCTAAATCCAACATGACTACTAACTCAATGGAATTACAAAGCCAAATCCGCTTCTCACCAGTTTGTGCCTCTTGAATAAAACAAGGTTATGTAGGAGAGCTTTTTGGGATAACAGAAGCTGAATGCCATCTAGTCAGCATGAGATCAATGAATCAAATCTTTCAGGAATCACTGCGGTGCCACATCAAAAGTACAGATTGGTTACAGTAAAAAAAAAGTGATACTTCGAATTTAACAAATGCCTTTGATCTGTCAGGGATCTAGCACAGAAAACATTAAAGGAGTAATCTTTCTTCAAATAATGGCTTTCCATTCATTTGTTAAAATGGTTGACTACCAAGATCAGAAGAGAGTCCAATTAAACAATGCAGCTTATTTTTCTGGACCAGTGCCCCTCCATATATCTATTTGTTGGACATG